CGACCATTATCGGCAACAACGTCACGATTGGCCCCTCGGCTGTCATCCACGCCTGCAAGATCAGCAACCAGTGCATCATTGGCACGAGCGCGCAGGTCCTCGACGGTGCCGAGGTCGGCGAGAACTCGATCATCACGGCCGGGTCCATCGTTACCATGGGCAAGAAGGTCCCTGCTGGCCAGGTTTGTGCTGTTGCCGACACTTGGCGTTGCATCCTGACGCGATCTTGTAGCTGTGGTCGGGCATCCCCGCTCGCCCCGTCCGCGACTTGACGTCGGATGAAATTGAGTTCATCAAGCAGTGCTCGTTGGACTATGTCCAGGTAGAACATCAAGTTCTCCATGTACCATTGGCGTTCTCATCGTCGACGATTCTAGCTGTCGGAAGTCCATGCCGGCGAGAACGCCAAGACGTTTGCCCAGATCGAACTCGAGAAGGAGAACCGCAAGATCATGGACACGGTCGGCGAGCTGGGCTTCCAGCAGAAGGTCGAAGAACGGCCTGACACGGGCTTGTTCTTTAAGTATTAACGCAGCCTCACCGTCCGCGCGGGTAGTAGATCCATCTCTTTTCGTAACGAGCCGCATCGTCTTGAATTCTGTCGCCGTGTTGTCATTGCAACCCCATCCGAGCTCTTAGCCAGTACAGACACCGATGCTTGTCGCAGTCGCCATTCGCCATCCTCGCGCGAGCCTACCAAGGCCCCTTGCTCCGTGGCCGGAGCAGCCAAAGAGTTCCGTCATATAAAACCAAAGGCGCGCAGTATGCAGCCAACTTGTGCACGCCAGCGATCGTTAGCTTGTGGAATTGCAGTAGGACGGGCAAGGGTCCTCTTGAGGATGCCTAGCCTCGAGCCGCTTGTCTCGTGGCTTGCAGAAAACGCCCTTCGCTCTCACATCTCATGGCTCGTGCCGGCATCGGCGAAATACCTCTTGCAACTACACTGTTGGTAACTCTGCTCTTGACCCTTTGGAACCTCGCGAATTTGATGCTCCGTGCAGGATTCGGTAATCCTTGGAGCCTATCTTCAGGTTGGTCTTCAGCGGCAGATCAACAAACGAGCAGCTGGGCCTTGGTCCAGGGCCCAGCTACTGTGCGATGAGAGCTCTAAGGCCCTAGGAGCCCTCATCACATAGTAGCTGCGTGTGTCCATGTGACGACGCCAGATGGGACCGACCACCTTCGCGAATTCGCGGATTGAGTCGTGTCCCACTGTAGACAAATGCATCACGTGCGGAGGAGCTGCCTCGTACCATCATAACCATACATTCTATTTCAATTAAAACTAGCAGCGAGCGCTTAGGCAAAGTTGCGGCAGACGAGCTCCATGACAGCAAACGTGATACCCTGGCCAGGCGCGACGCGAGCCATGCGCGGGACGAGGCCGCGGTAGAGCGCACCAGCACCTTCCTCCTTGTACACGGTCTTGATGCAGTGGACCATGCCGTTGTAGCGAGCAGCCTCGCCGATCTTGTTGGCCTGCGCCATGAGGCGCGTCTTGGCGACATCCACCGGCGTGTTGAAGACGGGGCCGAGCATACCGGCAACCATACCCGTCACGAGGGCCTGGTGCGACGAGATCTTGTCGTCGCGCGAGAGACCCCACATGGCGTGCTTGAGCATGTCGTACGAGCCGAAGAGGAAGCACTGGTTGAGACCCTGGCGGGTCATCGTGGGCACGCAGCCCTTCCAGAGCGCGGCGGCGCCCTCCTCCTTGAAGATCGTCTGCGCGGCGTGGATCGGGCCCTTGTACTTGAGGTTCGTCGAGCCCTTCTGCTGTTGGAGACGCGTCTTGACGACTTCGAACGGCGTCACAATCATAACGGCTTCCGTGATACCGGCACCGGCGCCGGCGACGAAGCCACCGACCTTGGAGACCTTGCCGTCCTTATCGGCAAGGAGGCCGCGGTAGAACTCGTTGGTCGAGAAGCGGAGCGCGTACTTGATGACCAAGTGGGCAACGAAGGGCGAGAGGCCCTTGTAGAGCGCGGCCACACCTTCCTCGGCAACGATGGTGCGGGCGATCTTGACGGCACCGTCCTTCGTGCCCGAGAGCTGGAGGCGAGTCTTAACCGTATCGAGAGGCTGCAGCGCGCAGGCCTCGACGAAGCCACCGGCCATACCGCCGATGGTCTTCATGGTCTTGGAGACCTTGCGCTCCTCCGTGGCAGCGAGGACCGGCGTCGAGGTCTTAATGGCAGGGATCTGGGCAGTGGCCATGGTGGAGGGGGTGCGGTGGCTTCGAGGACAAAGGCAAACTGACGACGATGACAAGGAAGAGAGAGATCGTCTCGCGACATGCCACCTCACCCAGCCATGGAGCTCTCTGCCAATGGTTGCTCGCGCTGCGCTTGAAACACAACGAGCGTCGATACAAATTTGCAATCAGTTCGGAGTGTCCGGATAGCGATGGCGCTGTGTATACTGCTTACGAAACGAGCAGTTGCATCTGATTGGCTGCGTGCTGCATCCCGCTGCTGTGATTGGTGCTTGCACCTGCGAAGAGGATCGACAACAGCGACGTGGCAAGTGCAATCTCGCATCCGCCAATCACAATCGCATTCAGCTTGAGTCTACGGATAGCCACGTGGTGAAGGGCAAAACCCCCGTGTTTTTGAAAAATCCGGCACTTTTCCGAAAATCAACGGGAAAGTGTGCATCTGCGACGCGCCACCGTGCGTCATCCGACCACCGGAGATTTCCCACAACCGTCTCGAGCCGCCCTTGGGATTCGAAAAGGGACCGCAGATGCAAGCGTCGTTGCCGACTAGATTCACGGTATAAGGCAGAAGTAGAAAGCTTAGCCAGTCGAAAGTCGGGTGCTGGGCAAGACAGGCTGAGAGAGGTGTCAACAATTAGCCGCCGGGGCGTTCCGTGGGAAATGAACCGCGTTGCAGTGGGTGCAGTGCAATTTGTAATCGACGACACGCGTGGCGTGGCAGGCTCTTGGCCATTCAAAGCTGGGGAACGGCGAGAGCCCTACCCCGACTTTGCCAAGGGGCACAAAGGGACGCGCTCGAGAAGCTTTGAAGTGTTGAAGCGCTCCATCTCACAACACATGCCGTTCCGACGCCTGGTCCACGTGCGGTCAGGAGAGCCTCGAACAGGTCAAGGACGCAGGTTGGTGAAGACCACTACCGTCACGGTTGTCCACTGCAGAGTTGAAGTAAAGAGTGCAGGATTTTGTGAGCTTCCGGAGCGCATCTCGCCAAGCTACCGGTAACGCCGCAGTCGGCTTTTGGTATATCGTGCGATCTCGCACCCACTTGAGGCACGTGGTCCGTCAAAATCGTCTGAGCTCGTCGCGACCTACTAGTACCGAAAAGGGTCGATACATCAATCTTCTGCTATGACTGGTAGATCAACTGAAGGTTCCACCTGAGAGTCCGGAGGGCTCAAACGCATTGCGAGATGTGCTAGCTGTGGCGTTTCAAGCAGTCGCTCATGGGGTGCTAGCGTCAAGTGTTCAAGCGTTGGTGATAGCACGTGACCCAGTGCCGATCCCAGGTATTAATAGCATACCAAAGGCGTTTGTTTACCCATGATGTGATGTGCGAGAATGGATGCCGTCATCGACGCGACTTGCCTATGGAAACGGAGTCCGTGGTAATTTCCCCACAACCCATACGACAACATCAGCTCCAAGTGTAGGCTCGAGGCATTTGCCCGCACTGGTGCCACACAGCCCATCCAAGCAGAGCTCGAGCTAATGCACGCTTGAAGAATTTAGCACCTGACGACCCTGTCCAGGCATTCGATGGCCCCAACATGCAATAGCCCCCATACAACGTCTTTGGCGTGTGCATCATCCACGAGCACGTGTCTTTTTGTAGCTGTCTAAACGTGTTGCCCCAGCGTAGAAGCGTACCAAGATCTGTCTTCTCTACACCAGGTCTCCGGAACAGAGTGTGCTGTGGACTGTTGCCTGTGCTCTTCCGCTCGACAGCCACGATGTACAACTCGATCTGCTCGGTATCGGCTTCGAAAGCCTTTGGCGCTAGCGGCAAACCCGCCGTCAAAGATCGCGCCGTTTCGTTTCCGCCAATCGTCGTAGGCCATATATCGAGTATGAGAGGTACCAACGACAATCCATTTCGTCCAGGTATGCGTTGTCGGAGGCATAAGAATATCCACCAATAAAACGAAAAAAAACTTTGGCCGCGCGATGTTTGTCTTGTGCCGGATCGCCGACGTCATCCAGATCGCGCCCGAGCTCTTCGGGACCGACTACTCGAGCGTGCTCACGGAAGAGATCGACCGCAAGTACGCCAACAAGGTCATCGCGGACGTTGGCCTCTGCATCACGCTCTACGACTTCATCGAGATCGGCGACGCCTACATCCACCCGTCCGATGGCACGTCGCACACCGAAGGTAGGCCATGGCCCATGATGCATGCTTGGTGACGGCGCCTGCTAGTCGTCTTCCGCATGGTCGTCTTCCAGCCGTTCATCGGCGAAGTCTTGAAGGGCAAGATCATTAGCTGCACCGAGGAGCACATTCGCGGTAGGCACGCAACCTGGAGATGCAACATGGCTCATCGCGCGTAGTCTCGATGGACTTTGTCCAAGACATTATCATTCCGTCGTACGCGATGCAGACGCCGTCCTTCTTGTGCGTACTTCAAGCGCAAAACTCTACGCTGACGACGCCTCTTGTAGCGACAAGAACGAGCGGCTCTGGGAATGGAAGTTTCCCGGCAAAGAAGGTGGATCGCGCAACGGCGAGCGAGGCTCACGCGTTCATTGTAGACGAGCAAGACCCGTACTACATGTACCTCCACGAAGAGGTCCGCTTCCGCGTCACCAACATCAACTTTACGCGTGTGACCAAGACCGCCAAGGGTATATGCAGACAGCATTTAGCCTTGAACTGCGCGCCTCATGACCACGCATAGGCATCCAAGCGACGGTCACCGAGGCCGCCGACAGTGCGTCGTCGCGCCGCCGGTCGTCGAGCGTCGACTTGTCGGAGCACGACCCGAAGCCGTCGGCCATGCAGATCATCGTGCGTGCTAGCTGGCTGACGTTGGCGGATGATGACGATGCTTCTGCGTAGGGTACGATCGACGAAGACGGTCTTGGTCTCTCGTCGTGGTGGATCGAAGCATAGAGATAGAGTAATCGAGTACTAGTCAACGACATATTGCAGTTATCTACATTTTGTCGTATGCGTTTCACACAAATTGAGATTGAGATTGCGTTTTGAACGGTCGCATGGCCTTGGCGTAAGGATGGACCCCAAGTTCACGGCCGAGCAAGCGCTGCTTACGTCCTTGCACAAGCCGCGCGAGTACCACAAGAAGGAAGTGTCCAAGGCCTTCAAGGCGCTCAACATTTCCGATGCCGACATGCGCTCGTACCGCATCGAGCACCGCGGTGTGACCGAAGAAGACATGGTCACCGAAGTCCGCGAGCTTTATCACCAGCGCAGCACGACGTCCGAGGCGCCGGCAGAGAAGAAGAACGACAAGATCCAGGCCAACGCGATGCGACGGCGCGAGCGGCACACGGCGGCGCAGGCGCTCTACCAAGTCCAGCTCAAGACCATTAGCGAGCAGCTCGAAGGCGACATCCTCCGCATTAGCGACACCATCAAGGACGACCTTCTCGTCGTCAAGACGACGACGGACGAGCACTTTGGCCGGCTGCGAAGCAAGCCGTGGCTCATCGCTGCGTCCCACGACCTCGTCGACGATGCATGGCGGGCTCTCGAACAGCTCTGGATCCAGCGAACGCTCACGATCGTATCCTTTGGCGAGTCGCTCGAAGCCATTGAGCAATCGCGGTCCGAGCTCGTCGGCGCTGAGCTGCGCAAGCTCACCGAAACCTGCGTCGCGGCCGCGTACGTGCTGCCGCCCGAAGTCGAGCGGCTCATCGAAGTTGAGGCGCACGAGCTCAACATCGTTTTGATTACGAATCGGCGGTCGCACGCGCACCTCCTCAGCCGCCTGCTCAAGGAAGACGTGCACAAGTTCGTCGACATCCGGACCGCGTGGGAGGACTGCGAGCGCAACTGGCGCGCGCTCAACCACGACCACGCGATCGAGGTCTTTCAAACGACACTGACGTCGCCGCTGTACATGGCGCCGCCGTCACTGCATGCGATTCTGAGCCAGCTACGCGACGCCCAGCGCCTCGTGCACGAGAACGAGCGGCTGCTACTGCTCCAGCAGCTCGACCAACACGGCGCGAATCTGCCGTCCGACGCGATCCAGAAGCTCGTCGTATCTTTTGCCGAGATGTACAAGAAGGAGGAAGAGCGCAATGCGACGTACTTTGACATGCTCTTCCGCTGCCAAGCGTCCATCGTTGCCGACGCCGTCGGCCTCCGCGAGCAGCTTCGCGCCACATGCCACCGCGTGGGTGCCAAGGCGGATGAGGGCTGTCTCGGCCAACACGCCGCGCAGCTCGCGGCTTTCCTCGGTAATAAGGACCTCGACGACTTCTTTCGCATCGCGGGCGGGCTCCGGAGCGAGCTTGCGTCGATTGAAGAGCGCTTGGCGTCCCCTGAGATGATCTACCAAGCCAACGTCGCCGCGCTCGAGCCGCGGGTCGGCCTCCTCGTGCACGCACTGCCGCTCGAGAGCATTTTAGACGCGCAAGGCAAGAGCAACGAGCGCAAGACGCTGCAAGGTACCCTCGAGCGGCTCCGGAAGGCGCCCAAGAACGAAATACTAAGTATTCTACCGCTCGTACACGCGCAAACCGTGAGCCTCGCCGCGATCCAAGGGCTCCATCCGATGTTGCAGTCGGAGCTGGAAGAAATCGCCAAGCGTCTCGACATTCTCATGCAAGAGAACTCCAGTGACGCCAGCAGCACCCACGCTGCAACCATAGCATCCGACCCGCCAGGCTCGGCCGCGTCCAAGTCCAAGAGCATTGGGCTCGACGCGTTCCAGATCATCGACATTCAGGGCATCCGCAAGGCGCAGCGCCGGCTCGGCACGTTAGTGTACGCGTCCGACCTACCGCCGACCGTCCAGTCGCTGCTCGCAGTCATTCTCGACGCCCTCCGCGTGCAGGGGCATGCCAACGACGTCGTCGACGCGATCGTCGCAACCGAGTGCGACGGCCTCATTGCCCTCCGCGAGGCGGAAATGAAAGCGCTGTTGACGCTGGTCGGCGCGGGCCTCGAGGCGCAGACAACGACGTTGCATCTGTCGTGCGACCGTGTGACACGCTTTGTGCACAAGGCAGTGACGTGCCTCGAGGCGTACGAAGAGCGCACGCGCGTCGTCAACTTGACGGTTCTCGACCTCCTCGACACGTTGAAAGAGTCGCATGAAGACAACGTCGCGGCGCTTGAAGAAGCGTTTAGCGCGCGCCGGTCGGCGCTGCGCCATGCGCCGGACGAAGCCGCGCTCGAAGCCGAGTTTGCCAACTGCCTGGGCCTTTTGGAGCGCATCGACGACGAGTACCGCAAGTACAACAAAAAGGTACGTATCGGTATACGTCCTTGGGGTCTTGAGAGGAGTCGTGTAGGTGACGCTGGCGTCGACCAACCACCCGATCGCGATCACCCGTCAAGCGGCACTGTACCGCAATATGCTCAGCAGCCACTTTGGCGTTGTGTCGGCAACGCACGACGACGAGACGGACATTGATGCGCTAGTGAGTGCCGAGTGCATCGAGCGCGCGATCAACGACCCGGAGCCAGTGGCAGCCGCCGTGATCGAGCCTGAACCACCGGCGCCCGTGGTCGAGGTCCCGCCCGGCCCGACCCCGCGCAACGGAAAGAAGGAGCTGGTGACGCCAGGACGTGCTGTGCCCGAGCCAGCCATGGAAGCGGGGACCGGCGCGACCGTCTCGGCGCCAACCAAGCCCGCGACGCCCGCCGTCAAACCAAAGAAAGAGGCGCGCGTGTGCTCGTCAGACGAGCTCTTGGAGTTCATTTTAGCGCACAAGATTCTCTTGCCGGGCGAAGAGCCGTCGGACGACGATGTGGACGCGGCGCCGGATGCCGTGAACACTGACGACGATACGGCGATGATCCACGGTACGCGTTCTGCAAGACAACTCCTTGTGTAAACGAGTATGTAGACGCGGTCTCGTCCGAGCTTGTGGCGCCGGCAGTGGCCAATGTACCGGCCCTCGGCGACGTGATCGTCGTCTTGACAGTGCCCAAGCCGTACCTCTTGAGCCTCCTGGAGCAGCTCCGCAACGCCATGCTCGCGTCGTTCGAGTCCAAGAGCAAGCTGCACGTTCAGAGCGCCAAATGCGACGCTGATGCGCACGTTGAAGAATACGCGTTCCTTCTCGAAGAGTGCTTGCGCATGCATTGGCCGCGTAAAGGCCGCACTGACGTCCAGATCTACCAGCCGCGCGCAGGCGAGCTCGTGAGCCACCGGCAGCGCCACGGGCGGCACATCAAAAACATTCTCAAGAAGCTTACGTTGCAAGAGAGCGCCTTCTTGGAGCTGCACGAGTCCGCCCTCGCGTGTGTGCGCAACCAAGAGAATATTTTGCTCGGCCTGCAAGCGCAGCTGCTCATGCAGACCAGTCTTGCGGCGCTGCAAGGCCTCGAGAGTCGGTCCAAGACGACGTACGTCGAGTTCAAGAGCGCGTGGGCCAATATTTTAAGCACCAAGATGCGGGTCTATCTGACCGACGAGCCGGCGGCGCTGGCGGCCATGTGTCGCGAGCTGGTCACGACTTGTTCGCACCACATTTTTCCCGATTTGAACTCGGTCGAGGTCATCTCTGGCTGCGACTACCACCCCGACGAGGTCAAGTACGTCCAGAGCCTCGTGGGCGAGACAGAAGCGACGATTCAGAAGGCTGTCGCGCACCGTAAAGAGATGATTGATGCGCTCGAGGGCCTCGAACAAGGCATCCTGTCGCTCCTCGTACCCATCTTCTTCTAAGAAGACAATAAGATCTCAGCGGCGACGTCGTAGGCGACGTTCAAGACACGGTACCAAGCTTGCATTCAGAACCTTTCGATCAAGGAAGGCCTTGGCCAAAAGTATGGCATGCCGCGGCGCAACGCCCAAGAGCGTCTGCGCTCTGAGATGAGTCGGTCCGACGAGATGGCGCGCTCGATCGAGAGTCTTCTATCGACCCTCAGGGTGATGACCACATCCAGAGAGTGCGCGCTCAAAGGTACCATGCTTGCGATAAATCAACACCAGTATACCAGTCCTCCCAATGCAGGACCCCATGCGCCGAGCAACCTCGTGCGACAACTTCGGTCGGTTATTTTGGAGCTCCGGCACATCATGTACACACGCGGCCTCTACCTCGGCGTGCTCAAGAACAAAATGCAAGTCGCGCCGCGCAAAGTGCCGGACGACCTCGAGGCGACGACCAAGTACGACACCGACGTCCGCCATGAAGCCATCGCCGACATCAAGACCTTTATGGAGTGGACCGTGCAGTTTGAGGCGCAGTGCATCGCGGACACGAAGAGCCTCTTCCAGGCCGAAGGCAAAGCGATGGAGCTCCCGCCCGACGGTGTGCCCGACACACTCAAAGAGTACCTCGCCGATCAGAAGAGCAAGGCGACTATCTATGTCCACGCGCAAATCAAGGCGTTCAAAGGTCAAGTCAAGGCGTTCGCTGCCGTGCTCGCCGTCGCGCCGGCCGTCGCGCTGGACAACATTGTCGCGCGCGCCAAGGCCGCCGTCGAAGCCAAAGTGCATGGGCTCGTAACAGCGTTCGAGGCCGAGCGCGCGGACTGGGAGGCGCAGAAGCAGAGGCACAAGAGCTCGCTGACGCCCGACTTGTGCAGTCCCAACCGCGTCGCCGCCGTCGAAGCGCTCTGTGCCAAAGAGGCGGCGCGGACGCTCCAAGTCCAAGCTGCGATCCGCAACGTGCGTTGGAGCGTTCTCGAAGAGCACATTGGGAACGCTCGCGTCGTCCATAAGCGGCTCTTGGCCGCGTTTGTCTCGCTCATGGAGATCCTCGACTCGTGCGTCATGCCCGACGACCTCGCCAAAGACGAGGACGGCGACGAAGAAGAGAAGAAGCGCAAGTCGCTCAAGCGGCTGCGGAAAGCACTGCGCAAAGTCGAGCATGGCGATCCGCTCGCGGCGGCGCTCTCGATCGACGAGCGCAAAGTGCTCGACGCGGCCAAGGAGACGCAGCGCTTTCCCAAGCGGGCGTGGCCCGGCCTCCCGATCGTCGCGGCCTTTGAAATACCGCTTGCCGTCCAAGAAGACACGAAGGGAAAAGTGTTTGCAGCAGAAGTCGTCGACGGCAACGGCGCCATGGTCGCGTACTTGACCGAAGCCCACCGCGCCGCCGTTCTCGGGCGCGACAGCACGTACAACGCGTACCGTGCGTACTGTGCAGCCGCGATCGAGACATGGACCAAGCACTACACGGCGCTGTTGACCGAGGAAGAGCTATGGTTCCTCAACTGGGGCAAACTCATTCAGTCGATGCGCCAAGATTCCTAGCGAGCTCGAGTAAATGCCAGCGTCTTGTACATTATTGCGACCACAAGCAACGTTGCGTCGAGCGAAATGGAGCTGCATCATGGACGGGCTTGATGGAATGGTGATCCCGCCACTGCATCAACGCTATTAATAGTTAGTCGGTGGCGGTACATGATGCATTGGGTGGGCACTTGTCGCCCTGGGAATGCCACGTCGTCGTTAGTTAGTCGGTGGTGTCGTCGCAACATTGAAGTTGCAACGGTCCAATCATGCAAGGTTTATTTTAATACGCGAGCAATAAAAATAGCGCCGTGACGCACGGTGTTACACATAATTAAAAAAAGATTGAATCGGACGAAATAAAAATACCACCCCGATGGATTCAATGCTGGCCATGTCATTATTTTATTTACACATTGGCGCTTTGGTACTAAAATGTTGTTGTTTAAATACAACAAGCGCTCAATACAAAACAATGACGCAGGAATTTCAAAAGCAAGGTGCGAGGTTCTTCGGCTCGACACCTATCCCTGTAGCAAGCGCACATGTGCGGGCCCAAATATCTTGGGTTTTGTATGCCCCAGCTTAAAGTGGCGAGTTCGATCGTTTTTTTCCCCATACCTCTCAAGCTCACTTCCTTTTGCGACCGAATTCCACCAATGAGAAGCCGTCACTCGAGCCAGCGTCGCATCTGATTGGCGCAATGGAGCCCGGCTTGGAGAAGCTCCAACGCTCTCTCTTGATCTTTGTATAGCGGCCTGTTTTTGAAGCTTGGGCTGTTTCAAGCTCGACATTCAAACCGCAGTTCGATTTGACTTGATGTTTGTATGTGGAGCCTTCAAGCTCGGAGGTCATTTTCCAAATCCAGACCCACAGCACAGCAGAAGCCATGGGTCGCGCTGCTGCCGCCAAGCCCCGGAAGGAGTCGAGCAAGGCCAAGGCCTCGGCCGTCGCCGCCTCCACGAGCACGCGCAAGCCGCGCAAGAAGAAGGACCCGAACGCCCCGAAGCGCGCGCTCACGGCCTTCATGTTCTTCTCGTCGTACATCCGCGAGATCGTCAAGGAAGAGATGCCGGAGCTCACGTTCCTCCAGATCTCGTCCGAGATTGGCCGCCGCTGGGCATCGCTGAGCGACAACGACAAGAAGAAGTTCACGGCCAAGGCCGAGGACGACAAGGCACGCTACCTCCGCGAGAAGGAAGACTACCTCCCCGACCCGGCGTACGAGAACCAGGGCGGCAAGGTCAAGGGCACGCGCAAGAAGAAGGACCCGAACGCACCCAAGCGCGCCCTCTCGGCCTACTTTTACTTTTGCGACGAGCATCGCCCCGCGACGCGCGAGCAGCACCCGGGCAAGAAGATCACGGAGATTGCGAGTTTGCTGGCCGAGATGTGGCGCGCGCTCCCTGAGAAGAAGCGCACCAAGTACAACAAGATGGCCGCTGAGGCCAAGGAGAAGTACGGCGAGAAGATGGCGGCCTACAAGCTCTCGCTCACGGCCCACGACGACGAGGATGAGGAAGAAGAGGTCGAGGAAGTCGAAGAAGTCGAGGAAGAAGAAGAAGAGGAGGAAGACGAAGACGACGACGAGTAATCGTTGCGTGCCCCTATCCGTTCCGCTCACAAGTACCTTCGTGTTGCTGCATATCTACCGCGCGCGCCGTCATGCGTGCAAGGTTTTGGAGGTGGATATTATTTAGTTAAACTCTCAACAATATAGTGACTTCCCTTACTACGCCCAACTTGACCGATTGCACCATCGACCCATCGATGTCGAAGATCGCACCTCCGTTTGACATGGATACGCGATCCGCGCACGCGATAGGTCGGCTGCCGACCAATCGCATTGGCGGGTCTCCGACCTGGCAGCGGTCAAGCCCACGGATTGGGTCCACTCTGGTCGTATGGCGGCGTTGGAGGCAACACCTCGTCGTACGGCAAGCGACTGAAGACATTTTCATGGAATGCTCATGCTGCTGCCTCTTGACCGTGTCAGTGGATGAGTTCACGTGACCGGGTGCTCACGCCCTAGCAGCGCCCTTGCACCGTAGAGAGTTCGTTTCGGATCTAGTGCACTGGCGCAAGTGGACTTGAACGCTCACATAGCATCGCATCAACGGTGGAGCGTCGTCCTAAGCTGCGTCACCAATGCAGAGGGGGCACCCCCACGTCGATATAGCAAATGTGATTGGACTGCCCACTGGGCATTCCAAACTCCCTACGCCAACTTGTCGCGGCCCTCTCCCCATCATACACAGAGTCGGTTGCATTCGTCGTCCATCGACACAGACGAACGAGTCCAGACTCTGGATTGTTTCTAGCAAACATGCGTAATTCGTATCTACGAGGGGCCACCTAGTAGCCACGCCGCAGGCAGGCGAATGTCGCCGGATCGTGAAAATCGACCAATCAGGTCTTATACAGTTTTGTATATATCTCGCAGTTTAGGGTTTACAAGTAAAAGTAGAGGATCGAGAGAATGATGAGGGCGACAGACGACACCGTAGTACTTCCGGACGACGACGACTTTGTCGGAGCCAACGCCTGCGTGAAGAGCTGGAGCGACGTTGTGTACGTGCACGTGCTCGCAAACCCGCTCGCGAGATGCAAGCACTGAGACGCCTCCTCTGGATTCGAGAGGCAGCTGCTAGCGCTTAGCATTTTCGACATATCCGTGGTCTGGATCCAAGGCCAGCGGGCGACCCCGCTAATGAGCGCGTCAATTGGTTGGACGCACGTCGACGGCAAGTACGGCGCCGTAAAGAGGGGCGTCATCGCACGCCACTGCGTCATCTGGAACGGAGCATTGGCGACAAGAGCCTTGCACGCCTCACTCGTCGGCAACTGAGCGACGGCCTCGACGAGGCGACCGACTGGTACCGCTGCGTGGAGCACGCTCTGGGCTAATGCATACGCACACGTCTGGTTGCCTTGGTTGAAAAAACCGGGCGACTGCGTCGAGCACAACACATTGCCCAGATCCCGCACGAGCGTCGCAACGACGACGTCGATTGGCGCGCCAAAGTCCGTCGCCAGATCACTGAGTGCGGCAGTGCAGCAGCCGCCGGCATTGATCGTCTTTAGCACGAAGGGCACGATCGCCTTTTCGAGGCACGGGACGACGTTGAGGAGCGTTGTGCAGAGCTTCTGCGCCTTGGCGTTTGTAAAATCGAGTGCGTCGTCCATAGCAGACCCGTCGCCGGAGCTGCCACTGGATGTCCATATATATTCGGAGTACATCGGCACGAGGTCGGCGATCGCGCGCTGACACGTGGGCTCAGCCGTCGCGGCGCCAAGCAGCCCGTTCATGAGCGCCGTGATGTCGACGGACCCAAGACACCTGTCGTAGCTTGTACGGAGCGATATCGCGTCCATATACGGTACATCGGAGAGCGTTCGGTTCATTGGGTTCGAGGCATCGCTGAGACGTGAGCAGGCGAGGCCAAGCGTCGCGCCCGAGAGAAGAAGAAGCAGGTAGCGGAGGTGCATTGTGAGTAGTTGTTGTTGTCGATTGTTGTGGTCGATTGGAACTTGAACAGTGGGTGGTGTGTGGACGATGATACGTGGCAGCGCGCAAGCATCATGGCGGCTCGTCTACCATGATGGGGGTTACGCCAACGCCAAAACCGTTGCGGGAAAAGGCGACGAACCATGTACCGGCGGTCCTTGGAGCCGCAGCCGCTCGACGCGCTTTGGCTCGAGGCCGAGACCGAAGCCTTTGCGCTCAAGCTCGTGGGTCTCGAGGTGGCTACCGAGACTGCGCCCCGGGGCCCGCCGTCGCTTGGCGAGATCAACGACCTCGACTTTTACGCGATTGCCGACAACGACGACCCGGCACACACTGGCTCATCGACGTCGTCGCCCGTACACCGTCTTCCTTGGTTCGCGCTCGGGTTAATTCCATGGCGTAGGAGTCGATCGAGCAGTACGACGAGAACGTTCGTCGCAGCGGCGCCCCACGGCACGTGTCGGGCTGTCGGCCACGCGGCGCACCAGGCAAGACGGTCATCGAGAAGGCGTACTCGCAGATCGACGTCACGCGCGTCCGCGCCGAAATGCAACTCGTCGTGAGCCAGCTCCAGCGCGAAAATGCGTGCGTGGCTTTCTTATAGTCGCATCCGATAACGTTGGGGCCATGTATTAGGGAGCTCAAGAAGCGCCTCAAAGCGAGCGAGGCGCTCGCCAGTCAACAAAAGCAGCAGTTGCACGCAAAGCACAACCTCAAGGTTGCAGCCAAAGACGTACGCCGCACCTACTGCAGCTCGCTACTTCATCCTCGTCTTCGGATTGTCGTAGCGCCACGTAGGGCAGCTCAAGGCGCAACTCGACGCCGAATCGAATGCCAAGGCCGCCCTCCTCGTACTATGTGCCCACATCGAATCGAAGAATGAAAAGTGCTGCGTAGGCCACGGTGGCGGCCCTCGAGACTGACCTCGCCGACGTTCGCTTTGAAATGCGGGTGCGCACTGCGACTATTGCTGATGACGGCGGAGACGTACACATGCCTAGATGATGGACAAGGCGTATGCGAGCGAACGCGCCGCGTGGGTCGAGAAGGAGCAGCTGCTGCGGTCGTTGAATACGTGATCGTCGCATTAATACAGCGTCCGTCTTGCGTCTTCAAAGATCTACTCGTCGCATTCTAGCAGCCTACGGCGTCGGGGTAAACTTGACTCGGACGTCGTCGTCGGTCATAAAGCCGGCGCTGACCGCGCTCGGGTTGCCGCCAAAGAGACGCCGCTCCCACGTGTTGATGTCAAAGTATATGTACTGCAGCGCCGCCGACTCGCTCTGCTGTCGCTTGAACCAGAGCTTGAGGTCCATGTGGTAGCGCCACTCACGCAGGTAGAGCTCCTGGGCTGCGTACGCTTGCACGACGTCCTTGGGCATCGAGTAAAAGATGTAAAAGAGCGTCTCAAGCTGAAACTTGGAGAGGTGCGACGTCTTGAGCACGGGCGGCTGGTTGTAATAGCAAAGTGGCAGCGTGTACTGCGGCTCCTTTGTACACGGCGTGTCTGACCACGGCGAAGCAAACGTCGGGTGCAGCGGTCTACTCCACGCCCCAGATAAACATCTCCGATACGATGAAGATGAAGGTGCGTACTCGGACGAGTTGAGGTTGAGGCCCAGCGACGTGAGGTCGCAGCCCTGCGCCACGTTGCGTTCCGGGTCGGTCGCGCGTATGACGTGCAGCATGCCGAGGAGGCCAAAGCGCGACGTTTCTTCCGACGACGACGACGACGGTCGCGACGACGGGTGCGGCTTGGCGTCGTTTGCGTGCAGCGGCGGGAACGAGTTGACCGCGAGGTTGTTGGCCGACTGGAAACCGCCGACGTTGGCAAAGGTCGCGTTCACGTGCGTGCCCGAGCGGGACCCAATGGACGATGACGTGCTGCTTGTCGACGGCTGGCTCGTGCGCTGCAGCATCGCGTCGTTCGACGATGACATGCCTTGGTTCGCAGCCTTCTCCGTCGGTCGACCCTCGGCGCCAAACGACGAGAGCGCCGGAAAGTCCTCTTTTTGAATCACAAACTCAGAGTTTTGCCGAAACGCAGGCGAGTTTTCATCGACCGAGCTACTCCTACGCGTCCATGTGAGACGCGATAGGCGAGCCGCACGACCTACCGCGCAGTCAATGCCGGAAACTCCGACATGTCGGGTGACTTTTCGAATGTCCGCACTAGAGGCAGCCACGTCATGCGTCAGATCGTGGGCGAAAAGTGCAGTGTATACCTTTGGTGGCCATGGTGATGGGAGTCGTAGCCGGCTCGGCGATGCGCGACGCCAGGTAGTTGTCCATCAAACCCGACGCTGTCGGCGTCGTCGGTGGTACGCTTCTTACGGCGCTGCCCATGCCCATGCCAGCCATGCCGCCCATGCCCATACCGGCCATCCCCATGGAGCCCATACCGATGCCGGTTGACGTCGCCGCTAGGAACTACGCTGACGTCAATGCCCGCGCTCGTGCCATCAAGGGTGAAGGAGTGTACCGACGCCATTTGCGGCTGGGCAGCGCCGCTGCTGTAGCCAGGGTAGACGCCCGGCTGCATGCCCATCTGCAAGCCCGCTTGGCTCGGGTCACCTATTGCACGACAACAACTGAGCTTGCACCGCTTGCGTTCCCGAGGCGTACCTCCCATGCCTGGGCTCTGCTTGAAGAACCCGTCCTGCCGGTTGTAGTAGTATTGGCTCGCATCAAACTCTTCCTACGCAGAGGAGGCGCATGAGCCCCGCCCCATGGCGGCCAGCGAACCTGGTCCTCTGCCGTCTGTATGTTGTCCTTGAAGTATGCCAGCTTGTCCTTCGACGGGTCCAGGACGCTCATGACCGCCTCCTTCGTTGCGACGTGTCGGCGCTATACAAAGTTGTATATTGAGCCAAACCACCACACAAGCTATCCGGATACCCAGAGTGCTAGTATCGAGGGAATAATGACGTTTCGGCCCACGGCTTGATGCACGCAACTCGCGGCCGCGACAAAGGCGGCGCTGACGCGGCCTCGCATGCGCCTGCAAAAGCCTCAAGGAACATCCTAGCACCACCCTAGCACCATCCTAGCAGCACGGCGCTATGGCATACCATCGATGGCAGCGACGTTGACATCGCCCACTCGCCGGCTGGCGTCGGATGGGTGCGACGAACGACAGCATTTTCGAATCCACCGACGAACCATGGAAAGCGCACTGCATGCTGCATGGGCCGCGTCCTACGACGCATGGATCGACGTCCCGGGCCATGCTGGCGTCATCTACAACCGCCCAGGTGCGGCCAGCGAAGGCGCCGTCGCGTACCCCGATTCTGTCTTGGCCTCGCACCTCTTTGCCATCATGGCGTGGAACCCCATGGGCCTTCGCGCATCCGACGACGACAACGATCGCGCGCACAAGGCACTGATCGCCGACATTCGGTCGCTGCCTCTGGCGCCCGGCTTTTGGGTCGCGCCTTTCTTTGGCTTCTCCGAGAAGTGGCGCGAGCCCGGGTTCGTCGTCGCTTGCCCCGTCGACGATACCCGCGCTGTGGCCTCGACCCGAGAGGTAGTGTTAGCATTAGCAGCCAAGTACGAGCAAGGTGCCATTTACGAGTACACGCCGGTGCCAAACCAGCGCCACGTGCTTTTGCGCAAAACCGTTCACTGCCTCTCGTCCCCGGATGTCGACGCTGACGTCTTCCTCGTCCAGGCGTCGCGCCCGGACACGCCAATGGCCGAGCCACACATCGATCCTTCCGACAAATAGCTAGTTACCGACTCTTTTTGTTGGCTTTCTAATCGCATCAGGATTATTTTTAGCTCGCCGTCGACCACGCGCATGGAGGCGGTCGCGCCCATAGGTATCTTGGCCAAAGTCCTCGCAACGTGCGCAGCAAGCAATGGCGCGTCTTTGCCCCTATTTGCGATCGATGCACGCGAGGTCGACCTCAACACTCTGCGAGAACCCGAGCTTGCAGCCACGACTCAAGTCGTCGCACTGAAAAGGCGAGCCGTGGGACCTAGCAGAGCGCTACGTCGCGCAGTCAGCTGCTCTGCGGACCGCCCGGCCAAGAAACCCGCGACGACATCAAATGGTGCTTGTTGCTGGCTGCGTATCGCCGCGCTTGGCCGCATACTTGTGGCCGCGAAGCTCTACCGCGTCCGAGAAAACATGGCCGCTCGCTCGATTCAACGTGCGTGCCGACGCTGGCGCTCGATGATGCCGGTGCCGAGTGATCCGTCTCGGCCAACACGACACGTAGCAGCCGTTGCCGACATTGTTGCGCGCAAGGCCGAGGCTCGGAGCCTCACGCTTGCCGTCTTTATGCCGAACGAGGCTGTCCTTCGACGGCGACAAGAGCGCGCGGCCCGGCAGATCCAACTGTGGTACACGGCGCAGAAGCAAACCCGCCTTTATGCGACCCACCTCGGCTGTGATCGGCGCATCGCGCAGCTCCGCGTCCGCCTTGCCTCCTACGAGACCGACATGCTATGGGCGAACGCGATGGCCTGCAAGCTCCAAGGCCTCGCTCGGTGCTTCCTCGCACGGCGCAATCGACAGGCGCCGCCACGACAGAGAAACAACTCGCAGCAGAGTACTTCGCACGTACTTTGTCGGAGCCGTGCACAGATATAGCCAAGTCATTGATGCTGGAGGTGTACTGGTAATCAAGGAAGTACCAACCTTGTTGAGATCCAAGGGGTGACACGCACTCACGATTGGCCACCAACACTCACGTTCGAAGTTGGGGTGGAACTTCGGCGCGAAACTCCACGGTTGGGTTTCGCGGGCTCGAAGCAGCAAGAAGACAATGCTACGCATGAAGCCCCGCGCGCGGGGGCCGGCGCAGTTCAAGCCGCCGGGGAAGCAAGATGACCGGCAGCCCGACGGGTACGAGTCCGGGGGCATGGTCATCAAGAACCTGCCCTTCCTCTCCTTCGTCAACCCGGCGCGGGACCTCGACGCGCTCTACAAGCCGTTCAAGTCACCCTGTGAGAACATCCGAACGTCCGAGAGCGACCGACTCTTGGCGACCAAGACCCTCGGGTCGCGTCGCCGCTTCGGCTCGATGCCCGTCGCGCCGTTCAAGAAGCTTCCCGAAGTCGACGTGGTCATGGACGACGTTGCGGACGCGGCGCCAGCGCCCGTGGACGAAGCTCCCAAGGCCGCCGACGAAAAGCCGCCAGAGCCCGTCGTGCTCTGGACCGGCATGGTCAACGACCAAGAAGTCCAGGTCGTTGTCCCGATGGTCATCGGCAAGTGGCTCCGGCCGCATCAGCGCGAGGGCGTCCAGTTCATGTTTGACTGCGGTACGTCCATGCCGCCCTATTCTTTGCCTCATAGACGTCATGCAGTCTCGGGAATCCGCGGCTTTGAGGGCAACGGCTGCATCTTGGCTGACGACATGGGTCTCGGGAAGACGCTGCAGGTATATATTCTTGCCGGGAGCGAGTTCCGCATATGCATGGTATGCATTAGAGTATTACGATCATGTACACGCTCTTGTGCACGAGCATGCAAGGCCCAACGATCCCGACGATCAACCGCGCAATTGTCGTATGCCCCACGTCGCTCGTCAAGAACTGGGACGACGAGATCATCAAGTGGCTCCAAGGCCGCATCAAGACCGTCGCCCTCTTTGGTGCTTGGCGCCTTTCCCACCAGTGTCATCTTACCATTCCTGGCTAGAATCGGGGCGCGAAAACGTTATAAGTGGCATCATGTCGTTCATCAACGGCAGCAAGCGCGCCAACAAGAGCATGGCGGCCAAAGTCCTCATCATCTCGTACGAGGTACGTCCATCTCTCGCGGTGGTTTGGAGTCTTAGCACATTCTCTAGACGTTCCGTATGCACGCCGAGAAGTTCGTCAACGAGCCCCAAGCATGCGAGCTCCTCATTTGCGACGAAGCGCATCGGCTCAAGAATGCCAACTCGCAGATCAACCAAGCCCTCAACGGTATCCGCCTCGTCGAAGCTCTTTCCTGAGACGTCCGAGTAGCACTGCCGTGCAAGCGCCGTATTTTGCTCTCGGGGACGCCGATGCAGAACGATCTCGAAGAGTTCTACGCAATGGTCGACTTCACCAACCCCAACATTCTCGGGGATCCGCGCGAGTTTCGTCGGCGCTTTCTGGGTCCGATCTTGGTCGGCCGCGAACCTGATTGCACCCAAGGCGAGCGCGAGTGGGCGCAACGGTATGTCGCGACAACGTCATATACGATGCTTACGGCGTCGCGTAGATGCTCGGGTGAAATGTGCGAAATCGTCAACCAATTCATCTTGCGCCGCACGAACGCGCTGAATGCAAAACACTTGCCGCCCAAGCTCACCCAAGTTGTGTGCTGCAAGCTATCGCACGTGCAGCGCAACATGTACTCGCATTTTCTGCACTCGAACGCGTTCCATGCGATGATGACGAAGAAGAGCTCGCGCATCTTGCCGTCCATCACGGGTAGGTTGCGTTGCTCATAAACAGAGAAATTGATGGGTTGCATGCTCGTAGCACTCAAGAAGCTCTGCAATCATCCGAATTTGATCATCGACATGAGCAATGGCAAGACGACGATCGCACCCGGTTTTGAAGAGTGTGCTGCCTTCCTCCCGCATGACGAGTACGGAACGATGTGCCATGCTGGAGCACACACGCTCATACGTTGTTTTCGGTAGCCACCGGCATCGGTCCTGTCATCCCGAGTGGTCTGGCAAGGTACATGACTGCCCTGTCTGATAACGGTACAATGCCCTTCCGCGCTATTAGTTTCAAGTGCTCGACAAGCTCATGCACGAGATGCGCAAGAAGACGACCGATCGCATCGTCATCGTGTCCAACTACACCCAGGTATTGCGTACTATGCGTCGAAGCCTCCCAACCAAAAGAACATAGACGCTGGATGTCATCACGGCGCTCTGTCGGGAGCGCGGTCTGCCTGCCGTGCGCTTGGACGGGTCAACGTCCGCCTCGAAGCGCAAGAAGCTCGTCGATGTTTTCAACGACCCCAAGACCAACTCGTTTGCGTTCCTCCTCTCGAGCAAAGCTGGCGGATGCGGCTTAAATTTGATTGGCGCCAACCGTCTCGTGCTCTTTGATCCGGATTGGAACCCCGCGACGGACAAGCAAGCGGCGGCGCGTATTTGGCGTGAAGGGCAAAAGAAGCAGTGCTTCATCTACCGCTTCGTCGCGACTGGTAGACGAGTCTACGTGACGCTAGGACTCATCTCTGTGGGTAGGCACGCTGGAAGAAAAGATCTTTCAGCGCCAGCTCTCCAAGGAAGGTCTCCAGAGCATCGTCGACGACAAGGAAGAGGTCAACTCGCTCTCGACCAAGGACCTTAAGGTTTGTTGTATTACTGTCTCCATGTAGTCCATGGCCCATGGAACCGACCGTCGTAGAAACTCTTTGTCTTTATGGAAAACACCGACTCGGACACGCACGACCAGCTCAAGTGCCGCCGCTGCCCGAATGCAGACGAGTTGGTCCTCGAAGAGAACAAGAAGCTGTTGACGCGCCCGCAAATCGAGTACGTGCGCATTCCAATGCGATGAGAGCGAACCGTGTGTGGCGTAGCATGCCAGCCGAAGAAGACTTGAACAATTGGAATCATCACTACTCGTACGAGACCGTCGCCGACGATATCATGCGCGACGCCCAAGCCGGCTCGGACCTTGTACGCCACTGCCTCCAACCAGATATTTGATAGTATCGGATTGATTGGTTGTTGTAGGTCAGCTTTGTCTTTAGCTGCCGCGTCGACTGGGACCTCTTCCAAGCCCAAGAGCAGCGCGATCGAGAAAAAAGCAAGCGATCGACGAAGAAAACGTGCTCAAGGCCGCCGCCAAAAAAGCCGCCGCGTCGAGCGACACGGAAGACGACGACGAGGTCGAATTTGACGACGTGCCCTCGACGTCCAAGCGCAAGCGCCGATCGAGCCTCAGCGAGGACGACGTTGTCATTGTGGACGACGACGACGACGACGGAAAGAGCGACAGCACAGAGAGCGGCAGCGACGGCGAGGTCCAATTCCTCGCGTCTCTTCCAGAGGCGGCCGCCGTGCGGCAAGCGAACCGATCGCAACCAAAGAAGTCGCGCAAGGTGCTCTCGGACGACAGCGACGGCGACGTCGCACAGACACCGGATGGCGAGGACGATGACGACGAGAATGGTGCTGAGACTCCGGCACCTGCCCGAAAATCGTCGGCACCAGCACCGTCTGGCTGGTGGTCGCCACCAAAGTCGACGCTGCCGCGCATCCCCGAATCGGACGACGGGCTGGAAGAAGGCGAAATTCCCATGTGGGCCTGCCCGCGTTGCACTCTGCACAACGCGATGACGTCCGAGTGGTGCGAAGGCTGCGGCATGGCGCCGCCGCGCCGCGCCAAGCAGTCGGCCTCTGCGTCGCTCCAGCTCGAAGACTACTAAGAAGCAATTCGACGGGCATGCTTCTTGCGTTGCCATAGTATGGGTGTGCCACCGACGGAGGTTGCTCACCCAGCGTTGCTGCTCGAGGCAATGGAGACGAGTAAAACGTTGCTTGTTTAACGCGTCGCTTCGATCGTGTGGTTGTGCTGCAGAATGAGGTTATACACCTTGCTCTCAAACTTCTCGGACGTAATGCGCTCGCCAATGATCGCGAACGGGTTGGACATGGCGTTTACGTACAGCTTGTGCAGCTCGGCAAAGAGCTACGCAGATACCATATTCGCCTCGTACCAGCCATCTCGCGCCTACCACTCGCATCTCCGACTCCTTGATGGGCGCGTCTTGGACGACAACGACCAGCTTGACGAGCGTGTTGGTCACGTAGCCGTACCTACGGCGCAGGGGCATGAGACGGCGGATCGCGAGGCATCGTACACGCGGAAGTCTTCGACGGGCCCGAGGAAGCCGAGGTACATGTCGTCCTTGGAGATTTTCACTAGTCACATGCTGGAGCCCCCACGCTGCGATTCCGCAGCACGCACCTTTCTCCTCGATGATGTCGAGCGAGATGTGGACGATGTAGTGGAAGGAGAGGTCGTCGTCCTCGTCAAAGGACCGGACGAAGAGCGGGTTGTTCTAGGCGGAAGCGCCATGAGGAGACGGTCGACCGCGCTTCATGGAGCGTACGTTGGCGCCGACGATCGCGACGCAGCAGATCATCGCAGCAGTCAACTTAAAGGCAAAATGGAAAGCACGTTATAACACAGCATAACGCTGTGCAATGGACTTTATAACACGCATTCCAGAGTCGTGGAAAAACCGAAAGTCGACGGTCAATTCCCGTAAAACGGCGCATGGCACCGAGCCAACACTGCAGGAACACGCATGACGCGAAGCGAAGGATGCCAGGAGACGCAACGGCATCTGCGATGGCGTGTTGGAGGACGTCGCACGACAAGCCGAGCGATTAGTAGTCGGAGCGGCGTTGAGAGAAGTGTGATTTGCTCGCGCACGCCAGATGGTGTTTCGACACCCAGATCGGTGTTTTCAGATTCTGCTCTCAACATTTTAATTATGGTCGCTACACACACCCAACCCATTTCCCAAACCCAGAATCTCCGGATTTGCCATGACGAGCGCCAATCCCACCACCAGTACGACGAGCTGGATCGAGACGCCCGCCGTCGTCATCGACGACGACCGCCTCCAGCGCAACATCGACCTCATGCAGGCGCGGGCGAACGCACACGGCGTCTCGCTGCGGCCCCACGCCAAGACGCACAAGAGCGTCGAGATCGCCCAGCGCGTGCTGGCCGCCGGCGCCGTGGGCATCACCGTCTCCAAGCCGCTGGAGGCGCGCCGCTTCATGGAGGCTGGCTTCAAGGACATCACGCTCGCGTACCCGGTGGTCGTGCCGGACAAACTCGAGCGCACGATTGCGTGCGCGCAGGAACACGGCGTGACGTTCAGCCTCACAGTGGACAGCCTGTACGGGGTCAAGATCGCTGCGGCTGCGGCGCTGGCTAAGTGCTACGAGCTGAGTGTACTGGTTCACATCGACGTCGGCTACCATCGGGTGGGCCTCGAGGTATGGACTCCATATGTGTGTACTCTGCTCGACCTCATGCACGCCCTAGGAGCATGACCCAGTGCTGAAGGAGCTTGTCACTTTGATCCAAGCATCGCCATCGCTCAAGCTTCTCGGGATTCTGTCGCATGCAGGTGGCTGGAAATGCAATGGTAATACAAAGAGCTCACGGGATCGAACTACAGGTCATTCGTATGGCGCCACGTCAGCCGACGAGTGTGTTGCCATCGCCGAGACGGAGCGCCAGATCATGCTGCGCGTCAAGGCCGCTATCGAAGCGGTAGGCTTGGATGTACCTACCTTCTATCAGCATAGCACATGCCGGCATCGTAGTTGGGGTCACCCGTATCGGTCGTGTCTCTCGGCAGTACGCCGACGGAGCTAGTTCGGCGCAACTACGAAGGGATCACTGAGGTATGTACGAGCGCAGTGTGTTATAAAAAGCAGGCTACCATTCGGACCTCGCACAGCTTCGCCCCGGCAACTACATCTTCCAAGACCGAACGCCAGTGCGCACCGGTGTCTCGACTGTCCAGAACGTGTCGCTCACGGTTTTAACAACTGTCGTGAGCGCCAACGCCCACTACTTTATCATTGACGCCGGCTCCAAGGTCCTCTCGGCCGACAGGTAGCTACATTAGTCGGCGGTTGGATTCGCATTTATGCCTGTCTGTAGCGTGCGTGGGTCTGGCGCCTTTGGCAGCAAAGGCTTTGGACTCGTCTTTCGCGAAGCCGACTTTGACGCAGTCATTGACGAGCCCACGTCCCACGACTTTACACTGCCGAACGGGTCGCGTGCCACGTGCTTTGAGCTGCAAAAGCTCTCGGAGGAGCACGGCTGGGTCGCCCACGGCCCGCGCGGCAAGGCCGACTCGCCGCAGATTGGCGACCGCGTCGTGATCCTCGTCAACCACTCGTGTCCCGTGGTGAACCTCTCGAACGGCCTCGTCATCAAGGGCGCGTCACCACGCACGATCGAACTCATCTCGCGCGGCTGCTGCCAGTAATTCCTTGCCATTCTCAACACTTGGGCAACACTTGGGCAGCAGACCCCAGCACCGAACGGTAGCCCGCGAGTTATAACGTTCTAGATCACAGACGAGGCTTGCATTACAACGATCACAACTATCAATGCTTGTCATTCTCGAGCGCTTGTTTCACGAGCTTGGCGCCCGTGACCATGAAGAGCGTCTGCCAGATGCCGAGACCAACGCGCGGGATGATGCCCTTGAAGAGACCGCCAACGCCGTTCTCCTTGATGACGGCGCGGAAGACTTGCATCATGTTTTGCTTGGGCTCCCCACGCTCGGCCGCTGTCTGCATTTGAATGCGGGCAACCTCGAACGGGTGGTTCCAGCACGAAAGCGCCCCACCGAGAACACCGGCGCCGGCTTCTTGCGCGACCGTGAGCTTGGCGTTCGGGTCGTCGTGGAAGATGACCTTGAAGCGGTTGCGGATGATCTCCGTGAACCCCTGGCGCGACGCCCAGTTGGTCGCTTGGCGGAAGGCGATCGCAGTGCCACCAGGGTAAAAGCCCTAATAGCACTTTGTCGTCAGGAAGGAAATCGCCTCACGCAGCGTACCTTGAGGCCGTTTTGCGCGTAGACATTTTGGATGCGCTGGGTCGTCGAGATGCTCTTGTCACCGTTGACGGCGGCCGTGACGAGGAACGTGCACGGGCCCATGACGACTGTCTGGCAGATACCACCACCAGCGCCGGAAATAAAGCCAATCGCGGTCTCGCCGACGCCGGCGGTATGGAGCGAGCTAGCAATCATCTCCTTCGAGAAGAGAAGGATCGCGCCCTTGGAGCCGGACTCGACCATCTTGGCGCCCGTGCCCGCCCAGAACGCCTTGGCGCCGCCGGCCTGGTAGATGTTGCGGAAGGCTTGGACCGTCGTCTCCGTGCGGTAGCGGCCCATGCGAGTCTTCCAGACCTACGCCCATGCTTAGCACCTCACCGATACCATGTAGCTGCGGCGTACCTCAAAGGGCATGCCAAGGGTCGCGGCGCATTGGAGGATACCGCCGTTCACGAGGTCGCGGACGCCGACGTTCTTGGAGGAGCTCGGTGGGCTCATGTCGAATTGCAAAATGAGGCGAAATCCTGGGGTCCATCGTATCCGGATGCATCCGGATGCATTTGTTGAAGTTGTCGATGGCCATCTTGGCTGACGAAAGGGTTTGGCCAATCACACCGCAGCATCGGACCGTGTGGCGCATCCGATTGGCCACAAGCGCAACCCGGTGGCGTCAACGAGAGCCGTGTGATTGGGTCGACCGACACCGCAACGCCCTCTACACCGACGCTGCGTCAGACGCGGACGCGGCCATCGATTGCGCAATGCCCACACCTCTGCGCAAGGTCTACTACTGCAGCCTAGAGCACCACCGAGGTCGCTGCCAGCACAGGCCTGCACCCACGACTTGGATGAGTTTACCCACCCGCTGCGTCGTCCGTACGGACGGTGAGCCAGACGCGTCGACGGTCGCGTGGCTTTGGCGATGGCCCGAGGAAGCCACGGAGTCGCATCGTTCGACCGAGTAGCCAGCATGGTGCGTGGCCTATACTGCTGCATCCGCACCGACCACCGACCGCCTTCCACCTCGCTCCATGTACTACCTGCTTCTAGCGTGCGCGAGCAGTTTGACGAGCCAAAATGGCATCATGCTTGTTGGTTGACGCAAAGGGATGGGTGCTCGCATCGTTACGTCTGTCTTTGGTTGTGTGTGTGTTCCATGTTCCTCCCACGCATCGCTTCAACGCACGCAACGGAAAGCATACACTGAGTTATCGCGGGCTTAGGCTCCGACAATAATGAGGTCGTTGGACTCCATGCCGCAGACGACGACGTTCGAGGCGGGGTGCGCGGCCACGGCCGTCACGACGACCTTGGTCGGGATCCGGAACCGCTGCAGCGTTTGCACGCTGGGCAGCGTTTGCACGCTGGGCAGCGTCAGGAGCCGCTCGCCGTAGCTGTGCGTGTGCATGTCTATGATCCACATGACGTGTCTCTTTCTCGGTTCAAAAGGGGCGCGTACCGAGGACGTAGAGGTTGTCGTCGTCGGCGAGGCCCGTCACGAACGCCGCGCCGTCAAAGACAAAGCTGCCGCGGCACCGGTGCAAGCGCAAGTAGCCCAGGGATCGATCATCCTGCGCCGTAAACAGCGCGTCCGATGGAAACGACGCTACGCGCATGTCCATCCCTTGTCAGCACTTGTATGCATCGCACCGTGCTGGATGGTCGGGTCGCGCGGGACCAGGTTCAGACTAAGCTCTATGTCCAAACGAAGCGTTGGTGCTCACGGCAATCGAGACAAACCGACCGCGAAGGACCGTGTGCAGCTTCAAGATCCGGCCCTCGAACGCGTCATAGACGACGACCCAGTCGTTGTGCAGCTGGCAAACGACCGTCGCCGAAGTGTTGGGCACGCGCTGCATCGAGACAACACTCGCCGATAAGAGCGTGTCTTGCACGAGCAGCGCTACGGGCGTGCGCTCGACGGTAGGGCCTCAACAAATAATATGTACACGCACCTCGCACGAGCGCATGCAGCGCGATGGTCGAGCGCCGCTTGGGCACCGACCGCTGCGCAAACGCTGGTGTGATCAGGTTGAAGATATCATAGACCTCCACATGGCGTCACGTGCGAGCGGATAGGATGTAATGGTGCGTACTGTGATGTAGCCGTGCTCGGTGCCCACGACCAAGTGCTGGTTGTCATGGCACAGCACGAGCGCGTTGACGGCGCCGTACTCACGCGGCAGTGCAATCTGCCACTTGGGCTTGGCCGGGACGTTGATGTCCCACATGCGAACCGCGCCTTCGTTGTCGCCGCCAATGACATGGACGTGGTTGCCTAAAATGCGCTGGGAAGAGAAACGTGGATGGCGAAGTACCGAGAACGGTGTAGAGGAGGTCGTAGTAGCCCGACGACGGACGGCTGTTGGTGCGCAGGATGCGGTACGGCTCTCGCGGCAGCTTCTTGAGGTTGAAGAGATGAATCTCATTGCGCGAGGCGAACGAGCAAGCAATCTCGTCCTATTGCGCATATTGCACCACGCAACCCTCGTTCATGGGGATGGACCAACCTGGTTTTTGGGGTTCCAACGGAGACGCTTGAGCTCCGACGACGTAGAAATGACGTGCACTGGTGGCACGTACGCTGGCGCTCCGTCCTACAAAGTGTGTTGAGATTCGGAGGCAAGCGAACCAAGGTCGTCGGACCGTGACCGAAGCGACGTCTCGCTGCGTCTTGGCGCTCGAGTTGCGATGCTGCAGCAAATGGTAAAAGTACTCGTCAAAGTCGTAGAGCGCAATTGTGCCATCGGAGGACCCGGTTGCAAGGATGACGCCGTCGGCGTCAAAGGCCATGGTGCTGATCCACTGCTGCGGGCGGATGTCGGGTCGCAGCCCCATGGGCAGCGTCGCGTACGTCGCCAGCGTGCTCCGAAGCATGCGCTGAAGCTCCACGCGCTTCGTGGCACCTTGGCGCTCACGCTGCAGTAGCATTTTAAAGGCGCTTGGTGGCCGCAGGACCCGTGGCTTTCGGGGCCCGTCGGCTTGCTTCTCAAACCCGTCGGCAAGGCTGCTCTGGATCAATCGGCGACGCGCTTCGTCAGTCTCTTCCGAGGCGCCTACTTCTTGGAGTGGCAGCGCGCCGGGTACAGACTCGGCTGGCTGCGGCTCCACAGACGAATCGCTGTCGATCTCCTCGATCACCGTCGGCGGTGGCTATGGAAGGACGTCATGCCGCATGCTAAGAGAGCGTTCGTCTACCGGTGGAGGTGCAACGCGCTGAAAGAAGGCCGTGATCGGCCGCGCTGCTTCGCGCGATGGCTTGGGCTTCTTCTTGGCCGCAGCCGCGATGGACGGCAACCTCCGCTTGTCCATCGCCGGTTTTGGAGGGAACGTTTGGGACTGGTTTCTTAGGAAAAGTGCACCTAAACCAAGAAACACCGGAGGCGCGAAAACGGGAGAACGACAAAGACGCACCTACAGCGCATGGCCATCGCCAGTCATGTGCGTCCTTTGCCCGACGTCTCCATACAGGCTATGCCTAGGGGACTCATGGCGTACGATGCATGCCCAAGAATGAGAGTCCTGGCGTCCACGGCGGATTAAAGGCAAAGACGCACCCGGTGCTCCTTTCTCGCTTTCGGAAACTGGTGCCGGAAAGCCCATTGTTTATCCGGCTGGATCCACCTCGGGCCGATGGAGCACCTCGACGAGGTCCTGCGGCTCATGCTAGCGCACCGGGACAGCTGCCACCCGCACCTCATGGCGCCGACGAGCCGCGCGGCCGTTGGCGTGGAGCGTGGGGACGGATCGCTATGCTTTGCCATCCAGACGAAGACGCGGAAGCTCCTACCCAAGATCATGCGCTCGATCACGGGGCTACCGACGGGCCAAGCGATCAAGAACCTTCATCCGCTCTGCAAGCTGCTGCTGCTTCTGCTCAAGAACGAGATTTGCCCCTACTACTCGGTCGCCTTCCAAGCGCCGGCGACGATCCTCTTCTACCTCGTCAAGTTCCTGTCCAACGCCGAGTACGACGAAATCCTCGACAAGGTCCTCGACGTTTGCGTCGAGCTCGCGTTCCTCATGCAGCAAAGCGACGTGACCGTCTTCATGCACCTCTTCCAAGATACCGTTGCCTTGGCTGACGACATGCTCCAGCTCACGTCGCATCTTCGGTCGTCCGGCGAGACTCTCTCGCTGCAATGTCCTGCGGACGTCTTCTGCTTTACGATCACAGGCGTTCATATGCGCAAGGACGCGGATACGATGGCCGGCGACACCAAGCTGTGTTGCCTGCCGGGTGGTGACGCGGCTCGCCTTTTGGAGGTCGGGAAACTCGCCGTGCCACCACTCCGCTTTACATGTGCGCGAGACGTCGAGGCTTTCCAGTCGCGGGTCCTCGATATGGCCTGCCGCATGCTCCAGCACTCGCCATCGCACGTCGTCAACCATGCGAGCTTCCTGCACCTCGTTGACGTCGTGGTGACCGCCCTGCAGCTCGGCCCGATCACCGTCCCGCTCTCGGCGACGGTCCAAGCCGTGCTCACGTGCGCGTCGCTGCCGCCCCACATTGTCGTCTCGCTTGTTAGCGCGTACTTGCCGGCGCTCTTGGCGACAACGACGACGACGTTGCCGCACCAGAACGTCCTGTCGGCGATCGACGCCCATGTCTCTGCGATCGTTGCGCCGCTGCTCTGGACGCCGCTCGATGCGTTCATCAAAGGCGTGCTCGACGCCCGCGCGCGCCCCCTGCTGCTCCCATGCTTTGGACTGCTCCGCGCTTTCCTGCCGTTTGACGAAGACCGCGTCCTCGCCCGGCTTCTCGACGTCATTGGCGCGTCGGACCTCGGCGACCGCAGCGTGCGCCAAGAGCTCGTCACGAGTTTGCAGATCGTGCTGCAGCAGCACGTCGGGCTCCTCTGGAAGGAAGGCGAGAAGGCGATCCACCAGTACCACCCGTCGAGCCCTGTCTTGCCAACCAAGCGACGCAAGCTCAGCGATCACTTTGCGCTGCCAACGACAAACGCACTCGACCTCGTGAGCCGCGTCCGGAGCCGCCAACCGGTGCTCTCGATTGCGTGTGTGCACCTCGTGATGGCGCTCTTCTTCGAAGACGACGTCGCGGCCGTGGGTGCCCATGTGCTCCTCTCCTTGCGCTCGACCGACAACATGACCAAGGAAGAAGGCAGCGTTGCGCGACTCATCGCCGACCGTCTGCGCGCCGCCATGGAGCGTGCGCCGAGCCTCGAGCTTGTCGTGCTTCTCTTCAGCTACCTGCCTCCGGACGAGATCAGAAAGATGCCGATCGCACCTTACCTGAACGCGACGACGAGTTCGCACGAGCCGGCCGACAATACGCGTCTCTTGATGTGCAGCGTTCCGGCCATTCTGAGCCTTTGGCGCGGGAGCTTGGCGACAAAAGATGGCATTGTGCAGGCGCTCATCGAGAGCGCACCCATGGCGCAGCGCCTCGTCCTGTTGTGCTGGTCGTACGGCGTCGAGGGCGCGTCACTCGATGTCCCGTCGTGGTCCGCGACTGTCGCAGCGACGAGCATTCTCACGACGATGGCCTCGGACGGACCCAACCAAGCACTCGCGATCGACGTGGCGCCACTGCTCGTCTACGCCATGGGCCGTCACGGGATCGCTCCGTTTGACGTGACTGCGTCGCTGGTCATGAAGACGCTCGTGCCTCTCTTCCGACACGCGACGACAGCACTCTCGGCGCTAAGCGCGCTCGGCCGCCTCTGCTGCACGCAAATGTGGCTCGCGCAGCCCGCGTCGCCGCTGCTGGTCACCGAGACACTTGCATTTCGCTGCGTCTGCGCTCCGCTCGAGCGGCAGCCGCTGCCCCACATGGTGACAATCTGGAATGCGATGGAGCCGCTGCTGGCATCGCCGTCGAGCGACCTTGTCGTGGCTGCTGTCGCGACGTGGGTTGCGTTTTTCCGACATGTACCCGTCGCGGACCTCCACGCCGAGTGGGTGTGGCGGCTCCTGCATCTCTTGGGCCACGACGCACGTGAAGTGCGGTCGGTTGTCGCCGCCAACACAAATGTGTTGTTGCTGCCCGACAGCAACGGGGCAACGGCGCTCGCGCTGGCGTTCTCGGACGAGTCGTCGTCCGACGACCTCGGTGACGCCAGCAACAAGATGTCGAGTATCTTGGACCGGCTCCTCGAGCAAGGCGACGTTCGCATTCTCGTCTCGACCATAGAAGGTATGGGTACACTCGCGACGGCGTGCGTGCTCTCGCAACCGCTGGACTTGGACGTGTTCTTTTACGTTTTGTTTCGGCTCGCGGGGGTGTGGCTCGCCTACCCACGCGATACGGTGGTCTCCGTGACCGCGACGGCGCAGCTCAACCGCATGGTCGCATCGCATTTGCTGTCGTGGAAGCAGCTCTGCGTCCAGTTCCCCGAGCGTATCCACGTTGCGCTCATTGAACTGCTCTTGCCAACACCGATGCTCGAGACGTTTTTGCACACGTTTCTCGGCGAGCAAGTCAGCGTCGGCATCTACCTCAAGGAGAGCGCGCCGTATGTGCTGCCGCAACTCATTCTGAGTCAGCAACGCGACCTCCTGGACGCGTTTGCCGCCGCGTTCAAGCAGCCGATCGCAGCGCTCTTGAGTGACTACATTGTGCCGATCGTCAAGGAGATGGTCATGACGCGCACGACGTCACTGAGCAACATCCGCGAGTGGCAGTTCTTTTTGGTTGCTTCGGCCGGATTTGAGCATCCGCGATGTGCTCAAGTACAACCCGCTGCGCTTGCTGTACGAGCTCGTGTGGGAGTTTGCCGGCGACCGCACCAAGGTGGCTCGGAACGCTTTCGACCAAGTGTCCAAGCTCCTCCACGAAGACATGATGGACGAAGGCAGCAGCAGCGGCACAAACCAAGCGAGCAAGTTTCATTTGCCGCAACAGTATTTTCTGGCACTCATGACGCATCTCGGACACAAGCTCGCGCACAAGCCGAGCCGCGTGCGTGCTATCAAGTGCCTTGAAGTGCTCCTTGCGATGTTTGACGCCAAAGGCATGCTCGACCCGTTCGTGCCCAAGGTCATGGCCACGCTCAAGCTGGCGCTGCAGGACGACGTCGACACCCACGTGAAATTGGCTGCCTGTCGCGCGTGGCTTACGTTTGTGCGACTCCTCTCGACGTCGGCGATCGAAACCAACCTGCTCTCGATCGTTGCGAGCTTGCTCCCGTGCATTGGAAGCATCCCCGCGCTCTTTGACGCGCATGTCGCAGGTCGATCGGGGTGGTCGGCGGCGCGCCCGGCCCCGGCGCCAGAGGCGGACGCGTGTGTGCAAGACATGGCGCTTCAAATCCTCTCGTTCTTGTGCGTTGAGCAGCCCATCAAGCCGAGCTGGGGCCAAGTCGCGCTGCTTCTGGCGCTTGTGCCGTCCTTCTCGGTCGAGGCGGTCGAGTCGTTCTCTGTGGACCACCACCCGCTCGACGGTGTTCTCACACACGTCCTCGCGCTCCTTGAGCACTGGGATGGCGCCGTGCGTGAGGTCGGCTTGCTCCACCTCTCGCGGCTCCTGTGCACGCGCAGCCGCGAGCTCCAGGACCTGATTTTGCTGGCCGAAGGCACGATCCACGTCGCGGTCTTTCAGATTCTCAAAGCGCTGCTGTCCCTGAGCCGGACCGAGACGAGCGAGGAGATCAAGACACTTGTCGCGCAGTCGCTTGGGGCGCTCGGGGCCATCGATATGGCGCGGCTCCCGATGCAGCTCTCGCGCACCGCCACGGTCGAGTACGGCGCAAAAGATCTCACGTGTTTTTTGATCGAGACACTTTTGGTCAACGAGCTCCGCGCGGCACCGCAAAACACAGATCTCATTGCGCTCTCGATCCAAGAGCTGCTCAAGTTTCTTGCCGCCATGCGCATCGAAGCGACACCCTTGTCGACGGCCGCGACGCCGGCGACGACGCAAGTCGAGTCGTCCCCGCCGCCCGTGTACGCCATGTCGGCGAGTATGCCCGAGTGGATGCAGCGAAAGTTTCACCAATCGCGCGTGCTGCAGATCATCGCACCGTACTGGTCGACCAAGTACAAGGCGCCGCCGTCGTCGAGTAAGAAAGCCGTCGCATTTGACGATGGCGCGACGATTTACGATCGGTTCGGGGCCGTTGCGTACGAAACATGGCTCACGTCGTGGTGCAAGGCGCTGATTGACTTGTCGTCGCCACCGGAAAAGACGATCTTTCTCGCATGCAAGACGGCGCTGGGGATTTCGATGCAGATGGCGCGCTTTCTCCTACCCTACCTTGTGCAGAACGTCTTGCCGCAACGCCACGCGTACAGCATGGTCAAGCGCGAGATCGAGTCGGTGCTTCAGGACGACCCGACCGAGTCGGACACCGTGTCCAGCCACCACCACCAGTGCGCACAGACCGTCATGGGCCTCCTCGACACACTCAACGAGTGGGTCTGGGCCAGCGAGCGCAAGCGGAACGGCCCAAGCCAGCACCGGGCGACGCACCCGGACGTGGTGCCGGACCAGGAGAAGGAGGTCGTGGCCGAGTTCCTCAAGGATATTTCGCCCGCGATGCTCTCGGGGGCCGCGTGCAAGATCAAGGCGTTTGCGCGCGGGATTCAGTACTACGAGACGCACTTGCGCATGGACGGCGTCTCGGCCGTGCCGCGCTACACGACCGACGGCAAGGTCCACATGAAGCACATGAATTCCAACGACATCCGCGAGCTGCAGCAAATGTACGGCCAGCTCGACGAGCCGGACGCCCTCCGCGGCCTCTCGATCCAGCGCCGACTGCTGCTTGGGTCGACACACGCCAGCACGACGTTCGCCGACCTCATGCACACGATCGTCGACCACGAGCATCTGGCGCGCTGGGAAGACGCGCTGGCGTGCTACGAGCAAGCGATCCACCGTACGTACGGCAACGAAGTCGACATTGAGATCCGGTCGCTCTTGTACGCGGGTGTGATTCGCTGCATGGTACAACTCGGGCGGCTCGAAGGCGCGCTCCAGCACGTTCGCGGCATCGTCGTCGAGTCGCCCGACGTCATTCCGTCCGTGTATCCGTTTGCGCTCGAGTGCGCGTGGCGACTCTCTCGCTGGACGCTCCTCCAAGAGCTCACGACGGACGCCATGAAGGTCAAGATGGAGTCGCAGCACAAGGTATCGATGAAGTTTGCGCGCACGATGCTATGCCTCCAGCAAAACCGAGACGCGATGGCGTATCACCTGCGCGACGCACGGCTCGCCATCATGGGACCCCTTGCGGCCGCGTCGCTCGAGTCGTACCAGCGGGTGTACCCGCTCTTGCACCAGCTGCACGTCTTGCATGAGCTCGAGCAAGGGTTTCTGGTTCTGGACAAGTACAAGGCCGACCCGACGTTTGCTGCCGAGGACCACTGGGTGCGACAGTGTCCGTGGGAACTTCGCGATCAGATGATGGCACCCGCGCTCAAGTTCCAGGAGCCGCTCCTCGCTTTGCGCCGCGTAATGCTGCAAGAGATGCAGCTCCCGTCACTACTTTCGAAAAACTGGCTGCGCTACGCCAAGATGGCGCGCAAGGAAGGGTTTGTCCGGACGGCCGAGAGCGCGGTGATGCATGCGCAGGCGCTCGGCGACCGCAACGGCATCATTGAGCAAGCCAAGCTCCTCGTGCACCAAGGTCACGTGTACGAAGCGCTGCATGTGCTCGAACCCGTCGCCATTGACGTGTCCAACTTGCCAAAAGTACCCGAAGCCGACCGCCATTTTGCGGCCAAGACGCTGCTTCTTGCGACCAACTACATGCAGCAGTCCAACCAAAAGCAAGGCCAAGTCGTGCTCAACCGGTACGGCGCTGTGATTGCGTACGACCGCAAGTACGCCAAGGGGTACTTTGATCTCGCCAAGTACTACGAGGTGCTGCTCGACAATGCGCGCTCGGACACGGCGCTCGAGGTCGGGGAGCAGTACGCGTACGTGACAGACATCCTTGCCAACTACGTGCTCTCGCTCCAATGCAGCAACAAGTACCTCTTCCAGTCTTTGCCACGTCTCCTGACGCTGTGGTACGAGTGCGGTGACGTCTTTGGCGCCGCCCCGAAGCGCACGTACCGACTCGAGTTTGATATGGCGCTCGAGTCCAACAAGGAAGACAAGCTCATGCAAGAGATCTCGCGCATCGTGCTCGATGCCCTGAGCAAGCTCCCGGTATCCATGTGGCTCGCGGTCTTTCCGCAGGTGACGTCGCGTATTTGCCACCCGAATAGCATCGTCGTCGACGGCGTCAAAGCCATCATGGTCAAGGTCCTATCGACACACCCGCAGCACGCGATGTGGCACATCCTCGGCCTCACGCAGTCGCTCAACACGCAACGCAAGACACGCGCCATGGACATCTTTAAAGGCGCGCAGAAACAACTAATTGGCGCCAATAACAGCGACATGGCCAACTCGCTTTCGGAGGCCATGAAGCTCGTCGAGGAGCTCATCAAGCTCGCCGAGTGCGACCCGGGCAACCAAAAGCGCCTTCCGTTGCGCATGGCCCGCATCCGGTCCCAAGTGCTCGTGCCGGTCCAGTCGGCCTTCTCGACGAGCGATGCGTCGACTCATGTCTACATCAAGGCGTTTGGCGACAAGGCGGACGTGATGCCATCGAAGGAAAAGCCCAAGCGCGTCCAGGTACTTGGCAGCGACGGCGCGTGGTATCCGTTCTTGTGCAAGCGCGAGAAGCACGGCGACTTGCGCAAGGACGCGCGCATGATGGAGTTCAACGCCATCATGAACAAGCTCCTCACCGCCGATGCCGACGGCCGGCGCCGGAAACTGCGCCTTCGCACGTATGCGGTCATGTGTCTCAACGAAGAGAGCGGGCTCATGCAATGGGTGCCCAACACGCGCGCGATGCGGGTCCTCATTGGGCAAATCCACAAGACGGAGCAAGGGCAATTGACGATGATGCGCCTTCCGAGTGACGTTCGCGACGCCTTTATGAACCTCCAGAAGCAGTACGCGCACGACTTGCCGCGGATGGTGTCGCTCTACCGACGCCAAGTGCTCAGCCACCCGTGCTTTGTGCCCCGCTTCCACCAGTGGTTCCTCAACAACTTTAGCGATCCGACGCAGTGGTTTGACGCGCGGTACACGATCTTATTTTGTCGTATTTGCGAGCGAGCTTATCATGGAGCGTAGGGCTGCGTTTACACGGTCGTCGGCGGTCTGGTCGATGGTCGGGCACATTGTGGGGCTCGGCGACCGGCACGGCGAAAATATCCTCATCGACTGCAAGACGGGCGAGTGCGTCCATGTGGATTTTGACTGCCTCTTTGACAAGGGGCTCAAGCTCGCGCGCCCCGAGATTGTCCCGTTCCGTCTCACACCCAACATTCTCGACGCGTTTGGCTTGACCGGCGTCGAGGGCGTGTACCGCACGACGAGCGAGGTCACGCTGACACTGCTGCGCGCCAACCGCGAGACGCTTCGGAGCGTGCTCGAGTCGTTTGTGCACGACCCGCTCGTCGAGTGGGGTCGCTCCAAGAGCAAGCAGTCGACGCACGTCGTGCGCAAGGTCGTTGCGAGCAACGAACAAGTCAACAGCGAAGCCAAAACAATGCTAAAGACGATCGACGACCGCGTCCGGGGCATCTGGAACCTCGGGAAAGCGTCGCACCACGAGACGCTGCCGCTCAGCGTCAAAGGGCAAGTCGACCGCCTCATTGCCGAAGCCACGAGCGACGAGAACCTCGCACAAATGTACGTGGGCTGGATGCCTTTTCTATAGACTGAAACCCGACAACTGGATCAAGCGAAAATACTAAGTTACTTGCGACGAATAATGAGTTTGCTCTTGGTCGGCGCGCCGTGGGTCTTGCCAGGCACGTTGCCGCGGCCGCGCTTGGGCTTGGGCTTGAACTTGTCCATCTTGGTCTTGTCGCCGCTCGACCGCGCCTTGCGCTTCTCCTCCTTGCGGATCGCGTTTTCGCCAAGGAGCTCCGACTTGGCGTACTTGTTGACGCGCGGCATGCCCGCAGGCTTCTTGCCGTTGCGGTAATCGAGCTTCCGGCCCGACCCTTGCTCCTCCTCTTCGGCGCCGATGATGTTGGTGCGCTTGTGCTGCTTCTGCTGCCACTTCTTGTACGTCTCGCCGACCTTTTGCTTCTTGCTCGAGAGCTGCGTGCCGTCGTTGCGCTTCTTGATCGTCCCGTTCTTGAGCTCGCCGACCGTCGTCTTGATAAACTTCTTCTTGCGCACATCCCAATGCAAGAGGCGGCGCTTGTTGTTCATCGCGACGGCCTCGTCCGGGTTGACATCGAGCATCGCATCTTCGAGGCGCGCCTGTGCAAACGCGTTGCCGCGGCCGCCGTCCGCGCCGCGGCTGAGCGCCTCCTCCTTGGCATAGTCCGTGTCCTTGATGTAGCCAATGTAGTTTTCCTCGTCCTGGAACTTCTTGGCGTTGTCGTCCGTCGTCTCGGACACGACCGCCTTGGCCGCCTCCTTCTCCTTCCAGAGCGCGTCGACGTCGACGTTCTCGCCGTTCAGCTTCATCTTCTTGACCTTCTTGCGGTCCGCGGCAGAGAGGTACCGCTTCGAGCCAATGACGGGCACGGCGGCCTCTTCGGCTTCCGCGGCTTCGCGCGCTTCCCGGCGCTTGGTGCGGAACTCTGCCTGCTCCTCGGGGTTGAGCGCTTCGTCGACGCTGTCTTCGTCCTCGTCCGCAGCCGCCTTGGCCGCCTTGACCTTGCCGACGTTCTTTTCGATAATGTTGTTGTGGAGCTTGCGCTTCGTCTTCATCATGAGCACGCTCGGCGCGTTCTTCTTGATCGAGTGGATGCCGGTCGAGACTTCAAAAATGGTCGCCGCCGGACGAAAGCCCTTGAGCTGCTCCAAGTACGCTTCTTGGACGACGTTCGAGTCCGACATGTGGCTGTAGAAGAGCGGGTGCACCTTCTTGGCCAAACCTCCTTTGAGCGCTTGATCGAGAGCTTCGAGGGCTCGGCGCGCGACCGGCTGTACTGCTTGTATGCGTTGTCGCAGACCTTGACGAGCGGGGCGACCTGCGAGTTGTGCGTGAGCGTCTCCTTGAGGCACTCGGTTTCCGTGTCCAGAATCGCCTGCGGGAAGCACCCATAGTGTACTTGGTCGACCGTCATGTCGGCGAGCGTGTACCCCGGCACATCCGCGGGGCACGTGTCCTCAAGGCGCCGGCCGAGGAAGAGATGCAAGTCGACCATGTACGGCATCTCGTCCGGGTCGACAAAGTTGAAGGCCATACCGCTGCGACCCGCACGTGCCGCACGACCGACGCGATGCACAAAGAGCTTGGGCGTCGACGGGAACGAGTAGTTGAGCACGTTGTTGAGGAGCGGGATATCGATACCACGCGCGGCCACGTCCGTCACGATGAGGATCGGCGTCTTCTTGGCACGGAACTTGCCAATGTTGATCTTGCGCGAGGTCTGGTCCATGTCACCGTACACGCAGCTCGAGTCGATGTGGCACGAGAGGAGGAGCTCGTGAAGGAACTCGACGTGGTGGCGCGTCGCCGCAAACACGATCGTCTGCTCCGTCGACGGAATGACATCGCGCAGGAGGTAGACAAGCGCGGATGGCTTGTCTTCGGTGCGCATCGTAAAGAACGAGATCTTGAGCTGGTCCGAGATCTGCGACTCGACGTCCAAACGAATGAGCTCGGGCTCCGTGAGGCCGGCGCGCGCAAACTGGACGAGCGCTTGCGGCAGCGTGGCCGAGAAGAGGAGCGTCTGGCGCGACGCGGGCATGCTCGTGAGAATTTCCTGGAGCTGCTCGGCAAACCCCATTTCGAAAAGACGATCGGCTTCGTCGAAACACACGTACTCCATGGCGGCGAGCGTGAATTCCGGAATTTCCTGGAGCAGGTGCATGAGACGACCGGGCGTCGCGACCAGCACGTCAGGGTTGGTGCCGAGAAGCTCGAACTGCTGCTCAAGCGAGTCGCCACCGACGATGAGGCCGCACTTGATGTCGGTGAACTTGGCCAAGCTCTTGGCAAACTTGATGGTTTGCACCGCGAGCTCGCGCGTCGGCGATAAAATGAGCGCGCGGACGCCAATCTTCTTGCTGTGCTCCTTGAGCTTCTCGAGCATCGGGATCAAGAACGCCGCCGTCTTACCCGAGCCCGTCCGCGCCATCGCGACCACGTCCTTGCCCGAGAGCACGTGCGGCAGCGACTTGCGCTGGATCGGCGTGGGCACCTTGTAGCCCATGGCCATGACGGCCTTGAAGATCGGCGGGCTCAAGCCCAGCGCCTGGAAGCCGCCCGACTTGTTCTTCTTGTCCGTGTTGTTCGACATGTCTGCAACTGGCGCCTCCGAAATGGTTGGGAGCAACGGAATTGATTGGGCCCAGGCAGCGGTGATGCCATTGGCTAAAAAGTACAAGATTTGCTAGCAACCGCCAATCCCCATCCGCTTCCGTTGTGCTTTGCACCAATCACATGCCATCAAGACACCAAACGTCGCTCAAACGTGGCAGTGGTTATTGCACTACATGGCTCCCGCGGCTCGCAAACGCGTTGAAGATCTGCTCGAGCGTTGTCTGCGACACAGTGTACTCTTGAACGACGTCCTTCATGCTTTCGACGAGTCTGAAGACGTGGCCGAGGTCGGTCGCCTGTACCTTGACACGGCAAACGTCCAAGTGCCGCTCCACGAGCGACACGTTCACAGCTCCCAACGCTGTCGACAGCCGCGCGTAGCAAGCCTCAAATCGGTCCTCGCGCAGCCACCAGGCGCCAACTTCGGACGGGCGGACGCGCAGCCCGCGCTCGAGCGTATCGGCGAGTGCGTAGCCTGTCGCGTGGTCCGGCGAAATGCCGTGCATCCGATCGGGTCGACCCAGCACCATACAGAGCTGCAAGAGCTCGCTGCGCGAGAGCGACTGCGCTGGGAACGCGGGATGTGTCGCCAGCATAGCGTCGACGTCGCGCGCCGTCACGGGCGTGAGCTTGAGGTGCAAAAGCAAGCCGTCGCCAAAGCGTGACTTGAGGTGCTGGATGCTGCCGAGGCACCGCAGGCGGCCGTCAACCATAATGCCCACGCGCGTGCACAGCGCCTCGCACTCTTCCATCGAGTGCGTCGTCAGAAACACTGTCGCTGTCTTGGAGCGCGTCGAGACGTCCGAAATGAGCTCCCATAGGAAGCGCCGCGTGCCAGGGTCCATGCCCGTGGACGGCTCGTCCAGAAAAAGCACCGGCGGCGCCCCAATGAGCGCGATCGCAACCGAGAGTTTGCGCTTCGTGCCGCCGCTGAGCGTCTTGGCGAGGCAGTGCTCAAACGGCGTTAGCCCCAGCTGCTCGATCTTGGCATCGACGGCGTGGCGCGTGTGCGTGCTGGACACGCCTTTGAGCGTCGCAAAGAGTTCCAGGTGCTCCCGGACCGTGAGGAGATCGAGGAGCGCATCAAATTGGGGGCAGTAGCCGATGTAGCGTCGGATCGCAAGCTGTTGCGAGACAATGTCGAGGCCTTGCAGCTGCGCGCTGCCACTAGATGCCCCGATTTCGCCCGTCAATATCTTCATGGTCGTCGACTTGCCCGCTCCGTTGGTCTACATTCAGTTGAGCCCATCGGCATCAAACCATGGCAACGATGAGTCTACCCCGAGAAAGCCAAAGCACTCGCCTCGCGGCAGTCCGAGTGAGAGAGTCGCGAGCCCGACCTTTCCATCCTTGTACACTTTGCGGAGGCTCGACATGGAGACCACATCGTGCTCCGGGCCCGCCTGAACTCGCGCGGCTTCGACTTCGACGTCGTGGTCCACTGGAAACGGCGTCTCGGCCTCGACGACGGGGTCGCGAAACAAGCGGCGCGCGATGGACGGAAAACAGAGGAGATAGTCAATACCGATGGCCAGCAGCGGGTACAACACGGCCTCGATAGCCAAGTACACGACGTCGGCACCGGCCACGTCCCAGTCGAACGCACTCTGATGACTTGGACGCAGGACGGACAAGCTCAAGCTGTTGAGGCCGTGGCTGAGGCAGAAGAGTGGCGAGAGACATATACAAGTTCCTACACCCAAAAGACACTTATCAGTTCGACGCGTACTAGGAGAGAAAAGACCGCGTTGAGCTCGTGCGTCGTGGCAAGGCTACTCAATACGAGCGAGGCGAGCGAGAGGTAGATGCCGAGGTAAATATTGCACGAAATGATATACGACTGCGCGTTCGCAGGGTCGTGGCAAAAGAACGAGAGGCAATAGCTGAAACCAATGCACGCGGCGCCGACAAACACAAAGAGGCAAACGACAGCTGGAAACGCCGACGTGGCGCACGTCGGGCAGTCGAGACCCGTGAACGGCGAGAGGTCGCTGGACCAGATCGCGTAGAGCGCAAACGCGCACGGAAAGAAGTACAGGAGGAGGTCCCACGCGAGATTCGAGAGCCAGAACGCAGGGACGCTCGCACCGGCGAGGAGCTGCTGGTGCTTGGCGTTGCGACTCGCGTGCTTCTCCGACACAAGGTGTGGCACGATCGACGCCGAAAAATACGCGATCGCGACGACAAAGAACGTTGTCGCCGAGAACGAGAGCGCGGTCGTGAACGCGGTCTTGCTTTCCGCCGTGAGCGGAAGCGGGTGGTTGGCCACCGAGACGTTCAGTGTCGCATTGCCAGCAAAGTATCGGACGAGTGCTTGATCTATGAGAGCTTTGAACGTCCCCGCCGCGTGCACCACCGTTGTGTTGACAAGCATGTTGTAGCCAAATGTGCCGCGACGCGTCGCCGTAGGCCACGTACCCGCCAAACTGCACCGCCTGCAGCGACGTCTTGAGCGCGATCTCGGCGGTTCGGAGGCAAAAGCCAGAGGTATCGTCGACGCTAATGTTGTCGTACGCCACGCCAAAGACACTCAGGTGTGGATTGGGGTACACGGGAGCAACGACCGACGCCAAATAAGACGGCAGCGCGCCCGAGAAGAACGTCTGCGCACTCAGAACGCGCTTGCACATCTCATTGTCGTCGCCCGTACACGAGAATGGCGCCGATGTATCTGCGCGCAGCGACGACGTGAGCGAAAGCGACGGATCGTTCTGAACGAGCGCGTTGGACTGGAGCAGCGCAATGCCGATCGCAATGTAGAGCACCGGCCACACCACAGCGAAGAGCACGGCTTTTCGGTCCCGCTTGGCGACCAAGTAGCGCTTGCGCCACAGTGCGGCAAAGTGCGAACGGAACAACGACGCGGCGACAGGCGGTGCTTCGTACGAGGCAGTAGCGAGACGAGGCTTGGGTCCGACATCCACATGCGTGGTCTCAGAGACCTTTAAGAACACTTCTTCGAGCGTCGTGACCGAGATGCCATACGACGAGAGACCCAGAGAGGACGCATCTGTGTCCAGCAGTGCAAACAAGGACGGAAACGACGCAGAACTCTCGAGCGGCAGCTGAATCGATACTTCGGCGCCAACACTGGCGAGAACCTTTGCATGGGCGACGTGGCGACTGACGGCAGCAACGACGGCGTCGATGTTGGTCGTCACGAGCGACAGCGTGTAGCCAGCACCGTACTTGGTTTTGAGAAAGAGCGACGACCCGACGCATTGGAGCTCGCCGTTGGCCATGATGGCGATGCGGTCGCCGAGAATGTCTGCTTCGTCCATCGAGTGCGTCGTCAAGACGATGATGCGGTGAAGACGATGACTCAGCATAATATCCCTAGCATACGATATCCTCTCCGCATCGTGTGCTCAAAAGCGCAATCTTACCAGCTGAGGCGACGGCTGTACGGATCCATACCCGACGTGGGCTCGTCCAAAAAGACGATTTTGCTGTCGCCGAGAAATGCAATCGCGAGCGACAGTTTGCGCTTCATGCCGCCCGAGAGCGCCTTTGCACTCGTGTGTCGTCTCTCGTCGAGGCCAACAGCCACAAGTTTCGCGTTCACGTCCTCGGGAGCGCAGCCCTTGATGGCAGCGTAGAAAGTCATATGCTCGAGCACCGTGAGGTCGTCGTAGAGCACATCGTGCTGCGGGCACATGCCGATCGAATTTCGGATTGCTTGCATGTCGCGGCGAAGCGAGAGGCCGCGCAGCATCGTTGCGTCGCCGGATGTCGGCGGCAGCATGCCCGTGAGCATCGATACGAGCGTTGTCTTCCCCGCGCCATTGTGCCCGAGCAGACACGTGATCTGGTTCTTGTACAGTGTGAGGTTCATGCCTGCGACCGCCACCTTCTCGGTGGTATCGCCATCGGACGCTGGAAAGAAGGACTTGCGCAGCTGGCGAATCTCGAGTGCATCGCCGTCGTCGGCTTGCTGCTGGAGATCCAACGAGACGTCCTCAACCACGTCGGAAATGGGCGACGCATCGGCGAGAAGCCTCTCTGCTTCGGACGATCGCAGATCGCGTTTTGCAAAGCACCACTGCAGCGGAAACGTCCAGTGCTCGGGCACACCGTACTCTTTTGGGAGCACCTTCTCCACGTACATACCCAGTAACGTGTACAACACCGTATCGAGTGCAAGGAAGACCAACACCGTCTGAAACGAGATGCCGCCAAACGCATGGTCCATGGTCGACCACGTGATGCCATTGGACGTGGCCTCTGCCTGCACGAGAATTGAAAGGCCGAGCGACATGGCAGCGGGTGCTGCCACGCATGCAGCTGTCTTGGCATTTTCACTTGCGTTCGCGAGTGCGTCGGCAATGAGAAAGAGCATGAAGAAGGCGAGGACACCAACGTACGCGCCGGTCTTGGCTTTTGAAAAGAAGGCGCTGAGCAAAGAGCCGAAGGCGACCACGGCGAGGCCCGATAGGAAGAAGAAGGCAAAGATCAATCCGGGCGACGCGTGTGAGAAGACGTGGAGGCTGCTTGGGATCGTTTGGAGCGCCGCAAGCACGAAGAAGAGTAGACCGTACGTGACGAACCAGCCGGCAAAGATCGACACATCGCGCACGCCGAGGATCTTCATGAGCTCGCGCGCCTTGAGCTCCTTCTCCGAGACGAGGGCGACGATGAGCCCCGAGACGATGTTGACGTACGAGGCGGCGAACGCAAACGGCATAAACGGCGCGATGAGCGTGTAGAATGGCGACGCCGTGTATGCTGCGATCGGAAACGCAAAGACGGCGCTACCAAAGTACGGCTGCGGCGCTTGCCGAAGCGGGCGAAGCAGCAGCGCTTGTGTGATTGGCGGTAGCGACGAAAGAAGGTCGCTACTAACCGCGTCGAGAAGGTCGGCATCGTGCTGCACCTGCACAAGGAAGCGCGCGTCGAGCGTAGCGTTTGGTGCGGCGACGCTGGCGGCGTTCGTGCAGCCGCCGGGTCCACGGCGATCCCATGACGGGAGACACGTCAAGAAGCGAGTGACGAGCGTCTGCAGCGCGAGGAAGCCGCTCTTCGTGTAGCTACGTCATCCCCGTAAAGAATGCTATACATGCACGTACTACCTCTTGTAGGTTGCTGGGATCATGGCTTTCTGATGGGGATCGACGACCAGCGTGCTGGTTTTCGGCCCGCTCGTCAGCGATGCGCTGAGCCGAATCGAGTACGAGAGAGACGTCGCCGTGCCAATTGCCTGTGTCGCCGGCGGGTCCTTGAACACGATCGCAGCATACACCTTGGGGAAGGACGCATCAAGTCCATACGACGGACCTACGGCACTGCATGAGCAAGCCAGAAGTAGACAAGCAGGTCTGTACCGCTTACGTAGGCCTCAAGCGCCGTCTCGTTGGAGAAGAAGGCGATCGAATCACGCCAGCTTGGAAGCGACGCCTTCTCCGAGCTATTGCTGGACAGCGGGACGCGCGGGTACCAGGCTGCGATGGCCGGCGCAAAGTACGCGCGCGTAAAGGCGGTGTCGGGCACGAGCGCGATCTTGTACGGGGAGACCTTGCCCCGACACTCGACGGGGACTGCATGCGCCGACGACGCGTCGAGGCTCACGTCGCCATGCCGCACGAGCTTTGTGTAGCATGCATACGCGTCGTCCCGCGAGAGCTCGTGCATCTTGCGGCCTTCTGTATACGAGCGCGAGGCCATGCGCCGGAGGAGGCCTGAGAAGGTCGCTTCCGTCACATAGAACTTGGCGTCCCGAGGGTTCTCGACGCGGTCGAAGAGCGGGAACGTCGGCGCAGTGATGGGGCGCGGGGAGAAGACTGCGTCCATGTCGTCGGACCAGCCGGCTGGGACGTCGATGTTGGCGGCCTGGTCCTTCAGGGAGCCGATGAGGTAGAGGAGGAGGACGGGGAAGAGGATCTCGAAGGCGAGCTTCCACGGGTGCTTGCGCATGAGGAGGAAGTTCTTCCAGACCAGCGTCCGAACATGCGCCCGTCGTTTGACTGCCATGGCCGACCAAGATGAGAATGATGTTGGGCGGTCTTCCAAAATCAAAACCTCAATTTCTTTGCTCAAAACGCAAAAATTGAGTTTTGGGGCCGTTGCGTTCAGCAACGCTCCATCTCGTTCATACCGGCGAGAACTCAGCCTCGGTACTACGTGTGCTCGTAGATGCACGCTGCATCTCTTGATAGATGCTGGGTCGTCGACTATATCTTCGCCACGGCCTTCTGCCAGCGTAGAGTGTGGAACCCGGCTTCTACCTCTGGCGTTAAACGGTTTAACGCCTGCGAATGGGTTTTACTCGATCATAGGAATGGTCGTTGGCCAATCACATCGCTTGGCCGAGTTTGCCCAACCAGTACAGAATTCGGCCAGGGTTCCTTGCAGCAGCAGCTCGAGCATGGTGCAGCGGACGTGCATGATCCTAGCTCATGCTTCTGTAGGCGTCTGTCTTCCTTGGCGATCTGAATGACTTTATCCAGCCGTCGCAAGCATGCGTGAATCCGCTCTTCCTCGCGGGCAAGCAAGCAGAGGAGAGCAAGGCCACGGTCTCGCTGGACAGCGACATCTACAGCGGGATCCACCAGGTCGCGATTGAGCCCGACTTGATCAAGAGCTCGGCGGCCGACACGGCGATGGTCTCGCTCAACGACTGCCTCGCGTGCTCGGGCTGCGTGACCTCTGCGGAGACGATTCTCATCTCGCAGCAGAGCGCGCAAGAGTTTCGCGCCGCACTTGCTGCGCGCGCACACGACAAGTTTGTGGTTACCATTTCGCCCCAAGCGCGCGCGTCCATCGCCGTGCGTTTCAACCTCACGGCGCACGCAGCGCACCTGAAACTCGTGTCCTTCTTCCGCAGCCTCGGCGTCCACGTCGTCTTGGATACGACGGGCAGTGCCGACATTGCGCTCCTCGAAGCGCGCACCGAGTTTGTGACGCGCCTCCGCAACCAAACGCTAGTGCCGTGGAAGCGCCCGCCGTCGTCGCGCGCCGTGTCCTCGACCGAGACCGAGTACCTCGAGGCCGGCGCCGAGCCGCCGGCCCACGTCGCGCTGCCGATGCTCACGTCGGCGTGTCCTGGCTGGGTCTGCTACGCCGAAAAGTCCAACGCCAACGCGCTTCCGTACATTAGCACGACCAAGTCGCCGCAGCAGATCACCGGCACACTCGTCAAGCGGCTCTTTTCCCAGCCAACCGACCGCGTTTACCACGCAACGGTCATGCCGTGCTACGACAAGAAGCTCGAGGCGTCGCGCAACGACTTTCTGGACGCGGCCACCGAGACGCGCGACGTCGACTGCGTCCTCGCGGCGTCCGAGGTCCTCGATATGCTGGTGGAGGCCAATGTCGACTTGGCGGCGCTTCCGGACGCGGTGCTGACGCCGGACGAGCGGCTCTGGAGCGGCGTCGCTGACACGCACCTTGTGGGTGCTACGGAGGGCGAGATTGGCGCCGGCGGGTACCTCGAGCACATTTTCCGCTTCGCCGCCAAAGAGCTCTACAACGTCGATGTTGAGGGCCCGCTGCCGTATGTGCAAGGCCGGAACGCTGACTTTCGCGAAGTGTCGCTTGTCGTCGACGGCAAAGAGGTGCTCAAGTTTGCACTTGCGTACGGCTTTCGCAACATCCAAACCGTGCTCATGAAGATCAAGCGCAACAAGTGCCCGTACCAGTTTGTCGAGATCATGGCCTGCCCAGGTAGAGGGACATTGTGTTTCATACACTCATTTCATGCGCAGGCGGCTGTCTCAACGGCGGCGGCCAAGTCAAGCCCGAGTCGGCGGAAGCCAACAAGGCCTTGGTCGAGAAAGTGTATGCTACGTTCCGAGACCGGACGCTGCGCGCGCCGAGTGCGAACCCAGCGTGCGCACAACTGTACGCAACATACCTCGACGACACGCCGTTTGGGCAGAAGGCGCGGTCGGTCTTCCATACGCGGTACCACGCCGTGCCCAAATTGGAGCTCGCCAACCCCTTTGGTATCAAATGGTAATAACGTATAGGCCATTTGCGTGTGAAAAGGGGCATTTGGTATCTTGACATGGCAGTTGGGATGTTGAACATTTTGTACATTTGTACACGGAGGCAATTTGGATTCTTTATAAGGTGGTACTATTGGTGCATCTACATGGTCTTTTCGGTCATGACCTTGAGCGCCTGCGTCGTGTCGACAGCGGCGTCGGTCGCGACCACGGGGCAAAAGAGGTGCGTGTCGTCCTGCTTGAGGCCCGCGTCTTCTCGGCGCTCGCCCAGAGGTACTCGTGCAAGCACACTTCCTTGAGCTGCGCACGGGTCGAGAGCACGAGCTCCTTGAGCTTGTCAGCGACCGGCAGTGGCCGGAACGACTCGCCTTCAGCGGTTGCCGAGGAGCCGTCGAGGAGCGCGTAGATCGAGCCGTCGGCTTGGCGCTCCGTGTCCGCAGTAGCCTCGTCGTCCTTGGTCCAGTTCTTACTGTGGAAGACCATGAGGCCGAGCACGGCCGGGAGGTACCAGAGCGAGCAGAAAAACACCTTGTTGGCGTTGGCGGTTGACGGGTTCTTGTAAAACTGGCGCGCGAGGTGCACCGCATACGCGTTGATGCCAAGACCTTCGACAGCAAACATGTAGCTCGTCGCGCCCGTCGCCGCAGCAGCCACCGGCAGCGTCGAGAGCGCAAGGGCGTAGCGCATGATGACGCCCGCCGTGCGCGAGCCTGTCGGGTCGGCGCATGGGATCATCTTGTAGCCGCCACGCGCATAGTCGTGGCGAAGACGCCAGCTGAGCGCGAAGAAGTGCGGCATCTGCCACATGAAGAGCGCCGACCCGGTCAAGAGCGCTTCGGGCGAGAGGAGGAGGCCGTTGGCCGCGGCGACGCCCATGACCGGTGGGATGGCACCGACAAGCGCGCCGACCCACGTGTTCCACTCGGACGTCTGCTTCATCGGCGTGTAGATGCACGAGTAGAGGCCAATGTTGAAGAGGCTCAAGCCCGCCGTGAGTGGGTTACAGCCGGCGGCAAGGATCGCCGTGCTCGAGACGGCGGTCGCGGCGCCGAACGCGAGCGCGTGGTTCTTGGTGATCGTGCCACGCACGAGCGGCCGCATCATCGTCCGCTTCATGAGGCCGTCCGTGCGGATCTCGTACGCCTGGTTGAACGTGTTGGCGCTCGCAGACGCCAAGGTCGTGCCGACAGCCAGTGCCGCAAACGAGCCCCACGACACCGGCCCGCCCATCATAAAGAAGCCCGCGCCCGCCGTCACGACCACGAGCGCGCTCAGGCGCGCCTTGGCCAGCTGGTTGTAGATGCCAACGCGCTCCGAGAGCGTGAGCGTCGTCGCGGCCGTCACCTGCGACGTCGTGGCGACCGACGAGAGCTGCGAGTCCGTCCGCGTCGAGAGCGAGAGGATGCGGAAGACGCGCGGCTGGCCGTGGTGGCGCTGCAGGTGCGTCGCCACGAGATGGGTCCTCCGGAGCGCGAGCATATTACGTCGGACGAGGCGCGAAATGAACGAAGGCGACGAAAGGCCCGCGCCAGAAAACTTACACGATTGGTATACACTTGATTATGCCACCCGTATCCGGATATTGCCTTTTCAGGCAAGGGCATATTATGCACCATACATTCTTCAAGAGAGAAGCCCGAGGAAGCACCGGCATACAAACGCCAAGAGACTGGTGCAGCCAGCCAATCCTTCCAACCTCCCATACTGCATATTGTCGACACCATTGTATCGATTAGAAGAGGTCGCTGTCGACGATTGCAAAGATACGAGAGTGGCACGAGCCAAGTGCAATGTCGCGGCAGCGTCCATGACGCCCTTGAAGACACCATTCTTTCAGCAAGCTACTGCTACGTGCGAGAGTCGATGGGATGGAATTCGGGATAAGTATGGGCTAAGAGCGCGCGATCTTAGAGTGTACTATATCGAAGCATGGGCCGGCCCACCTGTACCAACTGCAGCGGCAGAGCCCGCGCAGCTACCGGTTCTACAGATAGTTTGCTGACGTGGCATCAAACAATAATACAGTACGCGGTGCCCGCAGACTGTACTTAAGTACAGCAGCAGGTGCTATCACATTGCTTTAAAAGGCGACCGTGCACAGTGGAATCTAGGTTCAATCGACGAGTGACAAATACGATTCGAGAATAAGTTAGTTGACTGTTATTGAACGACGCACTTGCCTTTCTCCTTGCCCTTCTGGGTCGCAATGACCGTGTCCACATGCGGTTTTTCGTTCACCGAATGGCTCGACGGCGCAGACGGTACTTCGTTGAGAACGTGGACCTTGGCGGTGCTCTTGGCGACGACCGAGCCCCTCGGTTTGCTTTGAGATGTCTCTGCCACTCCTCCATTAGATGGTGGTGCGTAGTCCGCTACGGGTGCAGGTAGCTCGACCTCGGGTGCTAGGGCGGCGACCGGTGGTAGCTCTGGAACGCTAGGTGGTGGCTTCTCAATGTCCGACTCGGTACAATCCATACTCGACGGCTCGGACGGCTCGACGGGCGATCCTTCCATCGCAAGATTGTCGAACGCACTGCTCGTACCGTCCGAGGTCTCGAGCGCAACGACCTTTTTCTTGCGCTTCCGGTGGTGTTCTCGCCGGTGCTTGTGGCCGTCGTCGGGCGCAAGGAGCTCGTCGTCGGTCTGGCAGCTCGCACTCGTCACATCAGCCGTATTGCTTGGTGCATTTTGCACTGGCGCTGACTCGGACTCGAAGACGCGGGCGCCGAGCTGCTCTTTCATGTTTCGGTTCGTTTTTTGAAGCTGCGAGACGAGCTCGAGGAGCTGGTCGCGCTCGGCTTGGACCGTCGCGAGACTCGAGCGAAGACCGTCGACTTCAATGTGGTGGTGCTCGAGCTCCATCGAGTTGTCGACGAGGAGCTTCTCCTGCATCTCCATGCGCATTTGCGCCGAGTGCAGCGAGTCTTGCAGCAGCTCGACCGACGACTCGGCCACTTCCTTCTTCCCACTCTTCTCTTCAAGCGACAGCACTTCGTGCGGCAGCGTCTTGAGCGAACTGCTCGGTACGTTCCCAAAGACGGATACCTCGACCGGCGTCGACTCGAGGTACGTCACGAGCTCGTCCGAAATCGGCGTCTCGAGGCACTCGACAAAGTTGAGCTGCGGGTCCACGGACGGCGTCGCGGAGACCTCCGAGACATGGTTCGTCTCGTCTTGAAACCACCTAGGCGACGTCAGCGCCACGTGCAATGCGTCTTTCTACTTGTAAGCGACAAAGACATCGCGGCAGAGCTTTCCGGGAATGCCGGTGAGCGACACGACGGTAAAGTGCACGCGAAGGTTTGAATCTATCGACACGCGTCCCGAACCTGCATCGTATACCTCCTGCATACCCAGGAACGACCGCAGTGTCGGTACCGGGACGATCTCGCCCCCGGCAGCAATCACGTTGCGCTGGTGCTCCTGCCACTACAACGCAGTATGGTATCTGCAACAGAACAGGAAGCATACCGCGTGGGTCAAGACCGTGGGTGTGATCTCAACAATGAGCTTCCCACACACGGCACCGCGCGAGTCCAGAATCGGCAAGGTATCTGCAATCTACGCACTGATGTTAACAGCGCCACGGTCGAGGCAGCACCTTGAGGCCGTAGACGAGGCTACTTAAAAAGATGTACGACCGGCCAATGAGCTGCGGGCTCGGCGGCTCGTAAAACGGGTCGACCCCGCCGTCGGGCACGTGGACAGCCTCGAGCACGCGACCGCGCTCAATAAATACCTAAGATCATTGTATGAGTCGATACAAATGCGAGATCTGCGTACCTGGTAGAGCTCGCGCATCTCGTAGATCATGTTGTTGAATTTCTCAATGTCCCAGAGCACGGTGCGGTACGTGCCGGCGTCTTGAAACGAGACTTGGATTTTGATTTCCGTGCCAATCGAATCTGCGAGCGCTGCCGCGCTGTGTAAGTTGGGCTTTGTCGGGAGCAATTTGACGGCAAACCCAACGTGCTTTTGGAGCTCGTCACTGATCATGTTGGCTTCCTTCACGAGAGGGATCGTATGCAGAAGCTCTTGCGAGAGGAGCGCACGCTCGGCCTGCTCGCGTTCCTTCTTTTCAGCGAGAAGCTTGGTCTCGAGCATTTGTAGCTGGAGGCTCTTTTCCAGCGCGCGCTGCTTCTCGACAAGCTCGAGCTGTTTCTTTTCGTACGCAACTTCGGCCTTGGCCATTTCTTCGGCGAGTTTGGTCTCTTGTTCGGCGAGCTGCGTCGCAAGTTTCTTCTTATCGACGTTGCCGCCCTCTTCGGACTGCTGCAACTGGAGCTTCAGGTTGGCCTCCTGAAGCTTCATGTCGTCTTGCATCTTCTTCACGTGCGCGTCCCATTCGTCCTTTTGCTTTTGGACCTTGCGCTCGGCCGCATCGCGCTCTTCGCGCATCCTACAACATTTTCAGATTGAGGTTCGAAAGCGTTGCGTCTCACCGCTCTTCCATGTCTTTGATGCGCTGCTCCATGTCCGCAAGCTCTTTCTCGGTCTGGCCCTTGTCTTCTTTTAGATCCATTTGCTTGCAGTTGAGCTCCTTCATGGCAAACTGCCAATCATAGCTCGTTTCGTCCAGTGCGGGCTCGACGCGTGCGCTTGGAATGACCACCTTATTGCGCCTTGTCCATAAGCATGGAAATACAACTTTGGGAGGTACCCGAAGGACGTTGGCATTGCCCAGGATGACGCGGTCGTTGTGGGCAAACTCGCGGATGTCACCGTCTTTGACGGGCTCGCCGTTCACATACACGTTCGCGCCTGGCTGTATCGAAATGCAGAGCGCCGTCTCGGAGCGTTCGATGACGCAATGTTGCTTGAGGATCCCGAGGCCGCCCAAAATGATCGATTGCGGCTCGTCGGCATCCGCTCGACCCACCTTGTTGGTCCCTGCACACATACATATAAGACCATAGAGTTGAGTATCTCTCGCGCACCCATGGTAATAAAGTAGAAGAGTTTTTCGCTCATTTGCTGGTCTTCGTTGAGGTTGATCAAGTGCGGCTCCTACGCACGTCCAGTTGCACAATACCGACAACATGCAGCGCACCGTCTTGGCCTTGGCGCGGATGTCGTGCAGGTTTGTCGCGAGTCCAATCGCTCGCAGCTGGTCTTCGCGCTTCTTTGCCAGCTCCTCCGTCTCCTTGAGTCGGTCGGTCCATGACTTTTCGCTCTCTTTCAGCAGGCGCTGGTTTTCCTCGAGTTGCTCACGGATCGCAGCAAGCTCCTCCTCTTTTTGTAGCGCCTCGACTGTTTTTTCTTGACCTCCCGACGAGTCGGGCCGATGCGCCTCGTCCCGCGAGCCTACACGAGATGCATATAGATCAATATACATGCCAGGGCATTTTACTCATGCGCGAGCCCGGGCAGGCGTCCAAACCGCCGTTCTCAATCATGGCTTTTCGGAGCTGTTCGAGCTCGTCCTTGAGCTGGACCCAGACTCATAAGTCCTTTCAAGAGGACTCCACACGTACTTGTCGAATCAGGAGCTGGTTGGGGTCTTCATTGACAACGGCTTGGTTTTTGATTTGCTTGGCGCGGTCCGCATACCGAAGGGTGCTCAGCGTTTCCTACTCGAGGTTAGGGGTAGGGTACACGGCTCGGAATTTGTACGGCGTAATTGACGCTCGCAGGACTAAGGGCGGCGATCATGATTGTTTTCGCGTTGCCGCCAAGCGAGTCTTTGAGCAAGTGCGTCTACGCCCATCGATCGTACGGCAACGTGTGATACGGGACGCGTCACCAGCTTCGAGTTGCGGTAGGGCACGAGTATCTTTTTCTTGCCGCTGGCATTGTCGGCGAGCGCCGAGATGCAGTTGCCAAGCGCTGAGAGGGACTACAGCGGCGCGTCGCTAGGGGCGAAGCACGAGTATCTTGAACTTGGTACCTGGTTGATGGCTGCACCTTCTTTTAGACGCGCGCCTGTCGCACCGGTGCTGGCCGCGCGCTCGCTGCCAGCCAAGTCGATCAGATTGATCCGACTCACCTAATACCGATTGAGTATACCGTTGAAATATGTTGCTTTTGGATAGGATACTTTGTCTGTCATTTTGTTGGTTGTTGGATCGACGCGGCTCTGCGTCACGATAATCTGGAAGATCGTGTGGGCGCGCGAGCTCGTCGCGTTCATGTTGGTGGACGCAGTCGTGCGCGCCATGATGCCAGCGTCCATGAGCTATTGGGTTCGTCATACCGACTGTGCAAGAGAGTAGAGGTTTTGTACCGCGGTGATTTCTTCGTACGTCGAGACGGCGCTGCGCGTGAGGCCATCGGCGTAGGGTCCTTGGCTCGGGTGGTCGCGGACCTTGAGATTGTCCGAAGATGGGTTGAAGAGGTCTAGAGCAGCGTGCCATGGACCTCCTTTTCGCACAGTGATGCGCCACCTTTGACTTTTTCGTTGTAAATCTCCATCATGCTCGCTTCGACCTGCCTCCAAGTTGTCGAGCAACGCACGCAGTGGACTCAGCGTACTTTGTAAATGATCTCGGCCGTGTCGCTGGACGTGATGCGCTCAAAAATGACTTGCGACGCGCGGGGAATGATGCCCTTGTCGTCGCCGTACCCGACCATCGAGAAGGACTTGCCCGCGCCCGTTTGGCCGTACGCAAAGAGACTCACATTGAAGCCTGTCCACGCGTGCTCGAGCACCTAGACCCATCAGGATCAATATTTTAGAGGTTGTCGACCGCACCTTGATCCCGAGGTCGTTCCAGACGACGTCTTGAGACGCGTGCTGCGGGTCGTCGGGTGGCGAGAACGAGTCGTAGCTAGTGACCGACTCGCGCCACGTACCAGCAAGTAGCGTGCGCTACCTAAAGTCGAAGGTGAACGACTTGTCGACGTTGGTCTCGGGGTCGGTGATGATCGTCTGCTGCGTCTCCTTGACCATGCCTAAAGCGCGGTCCGATTCCTGAAATAAGATCTGATGATGTCGTCGTACGTATGCAGGCCGTGCTGCTCATGCCCCGCTCGCGCTCATTGAAGGGCCGGACGCGCACCGCGACCTGGACGTTGTCGCCCATGTTGAAAACGGCTACGAATCGAGTTAACGGTCCGACCTTTCTCAACCGTTTTCCATCACCAGAGCACTTCATCGAAGCCACGAAGCCCTCCGATCGCGCCACGTGGATGACTTGCGACAAGAGGCCACCTTTGGATCCAAGAAGGTGGCGCGAACGTTCGCGTTTCCGTCGAGGCGATACTACGACGAGACAAGACGACGCAGTCCTACTGCCGACGCGCGCCAAGAGGTGTGTATAGAAACAAGGAGTAGTAGCCTCTGCTGTTTGGAATCCAAGAAGCCGCCGTCATTGCCTGCAAGGCTCGCCGATCCCCCGCACTCGAATCAGGACAACACGATCAGCAGCGGTCGACAGTATGTGGCCCTTGGTTGGGCCACTGGACACGTCACGGAGCGCAACCGAGGACCGAGAAGGCAGTGGCATGGCTTCAACGCCCGAGCTGGCGTGGCCGCCCATGTCGGCAGCTCGTGAGATCGTGAGCGCGTCGTGGTTGCACCGTCGTTGTCGCCGCCAAGCTACTCGCGTGTATTTTTGAAAACCGGGTGGGCTGCCCATCACACTCGCGAAAAAGCTGGTCGTTGGTTGCTGCTGTTGGATGACTTTTGCGTGGTGGCGTCATAATGGACTGGAGCGAGGCAGGGGAAAGGGCGGTTGAAGCCTGTCTCGATCTTCTTCTTCGTGGTCGTCGTGCTGGCTGACTTTGCATTCGACTCCGTGTCGCACAGATAGATATGGTGGCTCCCTACGACGACACGCCCAACAAGAAGCCACGCGTCGATAGAGACATTGTCTCGTCCTTGCTCTCGCTCCGGACGCACGCGCCGCTCCCGAGCCTCGCGACCGCCGTCAACCGCCTCCCCGCGCTTCGCCCGCAGCCGCCCGCGCTCCACAAGCCGCTCTATGTCCAGCTCCAGGAGCGCCAGACGAACCAAAAAATGCAGCTGCCAACCCCATCCGATGTCCGCGCACTGCAGGCAGACCCGCGCGTCCGGCAGGCGATCGAGCGCTTGAAGGAGCACCAAAAGACCCACCGCACGGACCTCTCGCTCCTCTCGCGCGAAACGGTTGCGATCATCGAGTCGCTCGCAGCGTCCGACCCGGTCGGTGACGACGACGGCTCGGCCAGCGTCTCGAGCAGTGCATCGTCGTCTCGCGTCCAGTCGACGGACGGCTCGACGATCGGCGACGACGGGTCCAGCGGCGGGAAGCGGCGGCGCCTCAACGACGGCCGCCGACTCCGCGGTCTCGGCGAGCACACGATCCCACTCGAAGCGCCCGTCAAAACGTCGTTTGCGACCAGCTGGGCGCAGCGCAAACACAATTTTGAGCTCGTCCAGCTCAAGCGGGACATTGAGCGTTGCCGGAAAGAGTACTTGAGCTACCTCCGTACCCGCCTCAGCCGCTGCATTGCGACTAACGAGCAGCGCCACATGGATGCGACCGACGACGTGCTTGGGCGGCGCATCGAGCTGCGCGTCGCGTCCATGGCCTACCTCTTCCAGTCGCGCGTCATGTACCCGTGTGGCGTCGGCGCCTTCGCCGACTCGCACGCTCTGACGCACAACGCGTTCGACCCAAGCATTCGCGACGTCGCCGCGCTCTTCCGGGCCGCCGCCTCCTGCGTTCGCGTCGACCACTCGACGATCGAGCAGTGCCGGCCCGTCAACGACCACGCGATTGCGTTCCACACGGTGTTTTGGGTCACCATCACGGACGCAGCCAAGCTTCCGGCGCTGCTCCGTGACGACGTGCGCTGCGGGCACGTTGAGGCCCGCGGACAGCTGCGTCTCCAGGCCGTGCTCACGTGCGCGTACAAGACATTTGACATCACCGACATTGACGTTCGCATCGACGTGGCCGACGCCCTCGCGAGCTACAAGCCACCAACGACACGCGACGACGCAGGCAGCAAGCTCCTGGTGCAGCAGCAAGTCGCAGCCCTCGACACTACGCGGCCGCCAACCCTGCGCCCGATGCCACGCATGGTCATGGTCCCGTTCCAAGTCCTTCCGTAGACTGTACATGCAGCGCTAATTTAACCTTGTGCCAGATACTATGCCCTCGAGCACGCGTTCCTTGCGATTCGGACCTGCGTTGCGCTGGAAAAGAAAGTGCGTGTTTTTGATTTCGTGGCCTCGATCTGGAAGCGCGATTGGATAAAATTCGGAATATTGACCATTTGGACCAATCCGCGCCCTCAACAGTGTTACTGCAGTCATTTGACGTCGTCACGCAGAGTTCAATTTGCCGGCGCTTCAACGCGATGCAGCAGCAGCAGTTCCAGTCACAACCGCCGGGCGGCTTCCGCCCCTTCAACCCCGCAGCGCCGTCGGCCGTCGGCCCGCGCTCCAACGGCGCGGCGCCATTCAACCCGGCCGCGCAACCGCGGTCCTTTGGCCCGCCATCGCAGAACGCGCCTCTGTCCGGCGGACCGCCGTCGCACGGACCTCCACAAGCAGCGTTTGGTCGGCAGGCGTCGGGCCCATCGTCGCAAGGTCAATTGAGTGGTCCACCCCAGCCGTTCGGTCGACCTGCTCCGCCAGCGTTTGCGCAAGCACCACCCCAACCTTTTGCTGCGAGAGGACCGATGCAAGCACCACCCCACGGACAGTTTGCCGCGCCACAGGGGGTGACTGGTCCGCCACAAGAGCTGCACCAAGCATTTGGTCGCATGGCCGTTCAGTCTGCGGGGCCGCCGCGAGGTGCACCGATGAACCAGGCCCCGCCAATGGGCCAGGCACCACCGATGAACCAGGCCCCGCCAATGGGCCAGGCACCACCGATGAGCCAGGCCCCGCCGATGGGCCTGGCACCTGGAAGCTACCCTCCGATGGGCCAAGGACCGCCCGCCATGATGCACCAAATGCAGCCGCCGCACCAGAACACGAACCAAGGACCCTCGCCGCTGCAGCCGTTGCGAAGCCACCCGCCGGCAATGCAGGCGCCGGGCAGCTACCCACAAGCGACACGCGGTGCCGCGCTCCCGAGCGGCGATTTCAACCAAGGCAGCTACGCTGCGCCGCAGCCGATGATGGCGCCGACGCACGCCCCCGTCCTTGCCGCCCCCTGCGACCCGCGCTACCTGCGCATGACAGTGAACGCCATCGCCCACTCGCAAGAGCATGCAACCAAGTCGGCGCTGCCCTACGGTCTCGTGCTCCAGCCGCTGGCCGAGCCCGACGAGGGCAAGGAGGTACAAAACTCCTTCCGAATGTGTTCATCCACCTCAATACTGGTAGCTGCCGGTGGTCAACTTTGGCGCGTCGGGCGTCGTGCGCTGCAAATCGTGCCGCGCGTACATCAACCCGTACATCCAGTGGATGGACAACGGCCGCCGGTGGCGCTGCAACCTCTGCGGCATCGCCAACGACGGTACGCGCCCGACCTGAATCTCAACCGTGAATATTGAGCATAGTGCCGAGCTCGTACTTTTGCCATCTGAATGCGAACGGTGTGCGCCACGACATTGACGAAGTACGAAGCCACGAGTATGCTGGACCATGAGACGAGGCTTCTATGATATAGCGTCCGGAGCTTCGCGGCAGTGTCGAGATCATTGCGCCGTCCGAGTACACGGTGCGCCCGCCGATTCCGCCCGCATTCGTCTTCGTCATTGACGTCTCGGCGCAAGCAGTGGCGAGTGGCATGGTGCAAGTGGCTGCCGAAACCATTCTGGCACAGCTCGACAATCTTCCGGGCGACGGACGCACGCGCTTTGGCCTGATTACTTATGACAGCGCGGTGCATTTTTATAACCTCAAGGCCGGCTTGAAGGCACCGCAGATGATGGTCGTCCCCGACATCAACGAGCTCTTCATTCCGATCCCGGACGAGCTCCTCGTCAACCTCAGGTGGACTGTATATCTCGTGTGTCAGAAGTCTGACTGATTCTCTCCAATAGCGACTCGCGGGATGTGGTTGAGAGCTTGCTGGAGATGCTGCCGCGCATGCACCAAGGCACCCGCAACCCCGACACGTGCTTGGGCCCGGCCATCCGCGCCGCCTTCCGTCTCATGGTGCGGCGTGACTTCCTTGGTGCCATCAAATCTCATTTTTCTTATCGTAGACGGCACTGGGTGGCAAGATGCTCGTGTTCCAGAGCTCGCTCCCGACGACGGGCCAAGGCGCGCTCAAGCACCGCGACGACCCGCGCCTCCTCGGCTCGGAGAAGGAGCAGTCGCTGCTCAACCCTGTCGACACGTACGCTGACCTCTACGCTATGGCGTCGTCTCACACGCCTGTAGGTTTTATCGCAAGAACGCCATCGAGTTTTGCCGGCAGCAAGTCAGCGTCGACACGTTTCTCTTTGCGCCGCAGTACACGGACGTGGCGTCGCTCGCGCCGCTCTCCAAGTACTCTGGCGGGCAGCTATTCTACTACCCCAACTTTTCGGCGTCGGTCGATGGCCAAAAGTTTGCGACGGAGCTCGGTCGCTGCTTGACGCGCGAGACGGGCTGGGAGGCGATTCTGCGTCTCCGGTGCACCAAGGGCATGCGCTTCAGCAACTACTATGGCAACTCGTTCTTGCGCGGCCCCGACCTCCTGGCGGTGCCCAGCGTCCACGCAGACGCAGCATTTGGCGTCGAACTCGAGCACAGCGACACGCTTCTGACGTCCAACACGATCTCGATCCAAGCCGCCGTGCTCTATACGACGTCGTCCGGCGAGCGCCGCATTCGCGTGCACACGACCGCGATCCCCGTGGTCAAAGGTATTCAAATATGTTCGTAACGGCACCTCATGCGGCTGTGTAGCGTATGCCGACCTCTTTCACGCGGTTGACGTCGACGCCATGTGCAACCTCGTTGCCAAGAGCGGTAGCGCGATGAACCTTGCGTGTAACAAATGAGTTCTTATCGGCGATGGTAGCGCTGGAAGTCGCGCTCAAGACGGGTCTCCCCAACGCCCGCAACAAGCTCCAAGCTATCGCGTCCGACGTGGCCCGGGCCTATCGCACGTACGGTGGCAGCGTCGCGGGTGGCTACCAGCTCCAGCTGCCGACATCACTGCAGCTGCTGCCTCTCTACATGGTACGAATGTACCTTTCGGTTGTGCTAGGTGCTATCAAAACCGTGCATTAGATGTCGCTCATGAAGAACCCGGCGTTCCGTGGCGGCAACGATATCGGTTCGGACGAGCGCTCGGCGACGCAGTATACGCTCAACAACCTCTCGGTGGCGCTGTCCCGGACGTTTATTTACCCGCGCCTCTTTTCGCTCCTCGAGATGCCCCAAGAAGCCGGCCTGCCAGTGGTCGAGGGCGAGCTCCCGCCAGGCGTTTCGACGGCCGGTGCGCAAAAGATTCAGCTGCCGCCCGTCGTCAACCTCTCGGTGGACCGCCTCAACACGGAAGGCGCGTTCTTGCTCGACGACACGGTCTCGCTGCATCTCTGGCTCGGCCGCAACGTGTCGCCTCGCTTCCTCCAGAGCCTCTTTGGCACCGACAACATCGATGGCGTGGACCCGCGCGAACTCCAGGTGGTCGAACCCACAGACGACCTCGGCACGCGCCTCAACAACATCTTCTCGGCGATCCGCCAGGACCGCCCGGCCTTCCTCAAGCTCCACGTGCTGCGCGAGGGGGCGCCGGGGGAAGGTCGTTTCTTCTGGAAGCTCGTCGAAGATCGCGCGAGCTTCAACGGCGGCACCTACTCGTACGCCGAGTTCCTCGGCCAAGTCAACCGCGGCAGCAACACCGCCAAGTAGATTCACATTGCAGTTTTTTATTTCGACTCTTGTCTCCGACACCGCTGCCATAGCCCTACTCTGCATTGCTGGGACGAGGCATTTATAAACGATGTACTACATACATAACGGAGACACGTCGAGTTCGGGTGCTCCAAGCGTTGCTGCATACCCCGTGCTTTCACGACTAGAATGGACCAATCTCGTCCATCTCTGCAAGCCGGTAGAATGCAGTCATCTCGCAATGAAAATCTCATCACGCTATCGTACTATTCGTGCTGAACGGCCGGGAACGAGCCAAAGTCCTGGACGTGGTTCGTGTGCAGCTTCATCTGCTCCATGGCCGCGCGGATGTGCGCGTCGTCGCGGTGGCCGTCGAGTTCGACGAAGAAATCATAGTCCCATGCGTTGCCGACGCGCGGGATCGACTCGAGCCGTGTCATGTTGACCCCATTGTCCTTGAAGACTTGCAGCGCCGAGAGGAGCGACCCGACGTGGTGCTTGACGCGCATGCTAATGCACGTCTTGTCCCGGCCCGTCGGCGAGCCGCACGCCTTGCCAATGACGAGGAACCGCATCGACGTCGACGGCGGCGCGCTCGTCCAGGACGACGCCGGCATCTCCACGTGGTGCGACAAGCCAAATGCCGTCGCCGCGTCGTTGGTCGTGATGGCCAGCGCGGTGGCTTCCTCGAGAGCGCGGCGCGCAGCCTCTTCAACGCTTGCGACGACGACGACCTTGGCCGTGCTCCATAACCGGTCGATCGCGGTACCAAAGCTCGCTTCGGCCGACGCCGGCAGGTAGATCGACGTCACCCTCGCCGCCTCAACCGCATGCTGTGCAGCGACAACAAACGGCTCGAGCACGAGCGTCTCGGCCACAATCTGGAGCTGGCTGCAGGGCAACCATGAGAACGACGTAATACTCGATAGGGCATGTGTGTACCTCTGCAGCAAGCGGAGCTGGGTCTCCTTGACGATGCCCGTCTGCGCGTCCTCGAACGCCACCACGCCGTACGCCGTCTTGTTGTTGGCGACGCTCTGGAAGACGTCGGCCGTCGTTGACGCGGCCGCAAAGTTGGGCGTTGCAAACGCGCCGAAGTGCTGGACCGCGGCCGTGAACGAGAGGCTTCCGATCGGACCCACGAAGGCCACCGATTCGTGCTCGAGGCGCTGCAGCAGGTACGCGACTTGGACTTCCTTGGTCAACGGCATGACAAAATTCTACGACACTCATGAGAAGAGATACGATGACGGAGGGCGCGTACGAGGTAGAGGTCTGAGATGAGCTGCGGGTCGACCTTGCAGTGCCCGCCCGCCGTGGTCGGTGCCCCGTCAATGTCTTGGCCGTACGTTGACGCCTTGAGGCACACACGCTTGGCAACTTTCTACATGGCCAGAAACGTCAGACTCGGAGGAGAAGATAGGACAAATATACCTCCTCGACGACGACGTTGGTGAGCGCCGCCATGATGCCCTCGGCGTCATTGTTGCGGATGAGCGCCGAGTACTTGTCCGTCTCGGCCTGGAACTTGGCCTCGGCGATGAATTTGCCGAAATGAATGCGCTTGCTTAGCGCTTGCAGCACGGCAACGTCCGCATTGGCCGCCGACCCATACTACATCCAGACGCCATCAACCGACGTCGCCAGCGCAGCGTCATTGTACCGTGGTTGAGTCGTCGACGTCTGCCGTGATGTGTGGCAGGATCTTTTGCAGGTAGACGTTCATGATCTGGTCGTTGATGTTGATTGCGTTGGGAATGAGCACGGTCGGGTACGCGACGGGCGGGAGCATCGGCTCGGGCAGCAGCTGCGGGAAGAAGGCGTGCTCGTCCGGCGCCGTGTACCGGCGGTTGAGCGCGTGCAGCTTCTCGGTGCCACTGAGGAGAAAGTCGAGGAAGCTGCCTTGGAAGCTGTTGTACTTGCCCTTGAACTCGCGCAGCGACGGCGTGGCCTCGGCGCGCTGTCGGTAGATGGCGTCGTTGCGCGCAAACTGGGCGCGCTCGATGAGCGCAAAGATGATCGTCTCCTCCTGGCGGATGAGCACGTTGCGGTAGTCGTCGAGGAGCACGCGGGTCGTCGTCGTCATGATGGGATTCGGAAATGCCATCTCAAAAACGTGGCCGACCACGCGGCCAGAGAATTCCCATGGCATCGAACGCCGTTTCGAAATCCACGAGTTGTCCGGATACGAGGTTTCGCCCACGTTCAAAATGGGAGAAACACCTTTCCCCCACCTCGAAACTGGGAGAAACCCGAGACGACCAAGCAACTTCAACGTCCGCGATCACGTGATGGCGCATTCACCTCAACCAAGCAGAAAGGACGCCGTCCAAGATGTCGTTGAACCGAAATGACTCGGCCCATCGTACGTCTGCCCGAAGAGGCAGCGGCCAAAGTGACGCGGCTTGAGAAGGATCCACTCGCCCATGCGCCAAGACAGCCAAGGAGACCAAAGCGGCGCGGCTTACCGACACGACCGCACCGCTACTCTGTTCAAGGAAGATTAGCCCGCCAAAGTATTCATAACTATCAAGTACCGGTATTCATAACTCTATTCGGCAAGCGTACTGTGGGCGCATGGAGCTTGATCTCGCTGATGTGTATCAGCTTGTCAATTTTGTCAGGTTTCGCTTCCAAGGGCTCTCAAAGCTCCATAGATACTGAGTGTACTTGGGCTGGTGCTTTGCGTAGCAAAGCCTAGGGGCGGTGAGATGCCACATACAAGTAAGGGAGGTCGCCAACGACAACGTCTGCTGCGTAGCGTGCTTTCCCGCCTTTGTCCGGATAGGCACATAGCAGCGCCACACCATTGGACGCCTTTTGGCCAATCAAACTAACGACAATGTCGCACGCGATGGCCATTGGTTGGCACGTGGGCCGATCGAATCTGCCAGGGATAATCGGCCGGTGCGCATCTCGCTGCTGTCCCGTGCACTTGGTCCTTTGCGAACATGCACGAGCTCCTCGAGACGCTGCTCTCGAAGCAGAAGTTCGTCAAGGCGCTTTCCACCGCGCCGCCCGCGCGCATTCCCAACATGGACAAGGTCGTCACCTTTGTTGGCGCGGGCATCGACCTCGCGCGTTGCCGCCAAGCGTTCCGCGACGCCGTCCTCGTTGGCATTGACACGGTAGCATCGCATCCTTTGCAACGGATTTCCATTCAGGATGCACATCATGTAGGAAACCAAACCTGAGTTCAAGAAGAACTCGGAGCGCAACCCGGTCGCGCTTCTCCAGATCGCGACGCGCGACGCCAAGGGCCATGAAGCCGTCTTCGTGCTCGATCTCCTCGCATTAGACGTGGACGACTACAACGACATGCTCACCGAGCTCTTTTGCGCACACGACATTATCAAGATGGGGCAAGGCCTGCTCGGCGATCTCAAAGTACGTGGTGCTGAGTCTACCTCGCGAGGCGCAGCATACCATCATGTTTCTTGCGTAGGAGCTTCACGAGGCGTACCCCAAAGCGTCGTGCTTTCGCAAGATCCATAGCGTCGTCGAGGCCAACGATCTCTTGCGCGTCGTCATCCAGCACACGTGCCTTCTGAGCCTCCAGAAGATCGTATTCTTCTGCCTGAAGAAGAAGCTCATCAAGACACAACAAACGTCCAATTGGCACCGCCGGCCACTCTCGCCGGCGCAGCTCATGTACGCCGCGCTGGACGCACTCGTGCTCCTCTGGATCCACGACAAGCTCCTCGACGCGATTCCGTTGCCTTTCCACATGGACTCGATCTGGAAAACGTGGGACCTCAACCGCAAGATCGAGCTTCCGTGCACCAAGTGCGGTGCCTGCTTCGAGTCAGACCACAGCTTGTATTCACACTACGTCGCGTGCAGCGCGGACTCAACCGAGCGCAACTTTGCCTGCCCACGCTGCCCGAAGCGCTTTAAAACTGACGAGGCGCGGCGCCAGCACGCCCAGCACTGCATGGACAAGGCCGTGCCGCCATCCGTTTCGACGGCAGTTGACGTCGACTGCTACTGCGGCCGGACACTCGTCGACGAAAAGTGGAATGCGGGCCACCCACTGCACTACATGTGTGCAAGCTACAAGCAGTACGCAACGTTGCTGCATGAGACGAACACGTACGTCTGGAACTGCGTCGACTGCGCCAAGACGTTCGAGTCGCCAGAAAAGCTTCTCTACCACCATGGGCTCTGTGGGACAACGCCGACAATGACCAAGCTGCACGTACGGTTCGACGAGTCGCCCGCGCCCAAGCGCAAGGCGTCCATGGACTGTAGTAGCAGCGAAGAGAAGCGATTGCGGTTCCAGCGAACGGCGAGTGCCGATTTTACAGAGTCGCCCGAGGAAGAGTCGCTCTGGAGCGAAGTCGGCAAGTGGAGTTGCGATATCGAGGGCGACGACACGGACACCTCCAGCTATTAATCAACTAAAACTATCATTGTATATACATGCAAGTCGTCTCCACGTGGAGGGGACGCGCAGAATCGCCTTGTGATGTACATGTCAACGTACTTTCTATTCGACGGTCGTCATGCATTGCGAACGAGATTCATGGCATTAAGCTTGGGCCACGCCAATAGGGCAAATGCAGTCTATGTGGGCACGTGGAACCGGCAATGCCAGCCTTGTCTGCGCTTGAGCTCTGCGGTTGCTGCAAGCCTGGCGCCAAGATCTTGGTGTGACTTCGCGTCGTTAGGATTCCACCAATCATTTCGTTCGGATTGCATTTTTTAATAAAGTTCTTTTCGAGGCGAGGTTTGTATGTGAATTGATGCTTTTTATTTAAATGCTGGCCCACCCGGACATGTGGATCAAAGTATGGCAGTCATTTGTTGTTATTCAGAGGTCGCCGTACATCTCGTCGCCAGGATGATGCAAGCCCCCGTCATGGTCCTCAGTACGTCGCGTCTCGTCCTGCGCCAAGCTCATGACGTGGCTTCCTCTAGACACCAACACCCAGCGTGAGACTGGTCGCTCTGCCCAGCTCGGCAACATCCAGGCCGCCAAGGTAGAACCGATATGGCCATGGCGACCGAAGCTCATGCGGATGTAGGCGGTCTCGGAGATTGTCCGCACGACGCTCGGCCCGCGCAGCATGCTCAAGATGCTTCTCGACCCCATGGGTGGTATTGTCATGACGAGCGACGGCAACGCCATTTTGCGCGAAGTCGATGTCTCCCATCCAGCCGCTAAGAGCATGATCGAGTTGAGCCGCGCGCAGGATGAAGAAGTCGGCGACGGCACCACCTCGGTCATCATCTTGTGTACGTAGCTATGGCAAGCTATGTCGCGTTCTCATGTAAAAGGACATGTGTAGCGGGTGAAATGCTCGTTGTCGCCGAGCCGTTCCTCTCGCGCCAGGTCCACCCCACGGTCATCATCCGTGGCTACCACCAGGCCCTGCAAATGTGCTTGGAGACGTGCAAGCGCATGGCCAAGAAGATCGATGTCCATGACAAGATTGCCATGCGCAACTTGATCCTCTCGAGCGTTGGCACCAAGTACTCGCCGCGCGTCGGCAACATTGTGAGCGACTTGGCCTTGGACGCGGTTTTGACGGTCATGCGCACGAACCCCCACACGGGCAAGAAGGAAGTCGACGTCAAGCGCTACGCCAAGGTCGAAAAGATCCCGGGCGGTGAGCTCGAGGACTCGCGCGTCCTCTCGGGTGTCATGTTCAACAAGGACGTGACGCACTCGAAGATGCGCCGCCACATCAAGAACCCGCGCGTCTTGCTGCTCGACTGCCCGCTCGAGTACAAGAAGGGCGAGTCGCAGACGAACGTCGAGCTCACGAACGAGCAGGACTGGAACACGCTTCTCCGCATGGAAGAAGAGTACATTGAGCAGCTCTGTGCGCAGATCGTGGCCGTCAAGCCCGACATTGTCATCACGGAGAAGGGCGTGAGCGACCTCGCGCAGCACTACTTTGTCAAGGCCAACATCACGTGCTTCCGCCGCCTCCGCAAGACGGACAACAACCGCATCGCTCGCGCGACGGGCGCCACGATCGTCAGCCGCGCCGAGGAGATCCAGGAGAGCGACATTGGCAGCAAGTGCGGCGTCTTTGAAGTGCGCAAGATCGCCGACGAGTACTTTGCCTTTTTCGAGGACTGCAAGGACCCCGGTGCCTGCACGATCCTCCTCCGCGGTGGCTCCAAGGACGTCCTCAACGAGGTCGAGCGCAACCTCCAGGACGCGCTCCAGGTCGCGCGCAACGTGGTGTTCGAGCCGCTTCTTCTCCCGGGTGGCGGTGCCACCGAGATGCGCTTGGCCCACGAGCTGCGTCAGCGCGCGCACGAGATTGAAGGCGTCGAGCAGTGGCCGTTCAAGGCGGTCGCGGAGGCCCTCGAGGTCATTCCCCGCACGCTGCTCCAGAACTGCGGCGCCAGCGTCGTCCGTGTCATGACGGCGCTGCGGGCCAAGATTGCCGAAAACAACGGCGGGTACGCAGTCGACGGCGTCAAGGGCGCGGTCGTGACGACGGAAGAGCTCGGCGTCTGGGAGCCGTACCAGGTCAAGACGCAGACGATCAAGACGGCGGTCGAGGCCGCTTGCATGTTGCTGCGCATCGACGACATTGTCTCGGGCTTGGCCAAGAAGAAATAGGTTTAATACTACGTCAGGAAAAAGGATTATCAGCAGAGAATATATAGGCACCAAAATCGTTCTTGGATCGTCGTCTTCACCATAGCTGGCGGAAGATTGGAGACGACGGTAGGAGGAGTGTGATACGTGCCACTTAAGGCCAAGGAAAGTCAAGTGTCGTGGCTCACTTTTGCTAGCGCTTCGGGGTAAGTGAAGGGCTGGCGTTCGTCTTCGTATGAAGCGTAGCAGTACCTGACCATTAGATCTTGCACGAGCGATCTCGTACGTAGCTCTGCACTGGGACGTCGTCATGCGGGTCTTAAATACCCCTAATCCTCGATCAGCCAGCAGAAAAATCTGGGTTTGTGACCGCTGCGTTCGTCGCAGATCAGCCGGGCCTTTGCATTGGCGCAAGGATCAGAGAGGTGGTGTTGACATCTAGATCTGAATTTTGTTGTTGTTAAGGTAGTACTGTAGTTATCTAGTCCATGGCTTCGTCGTCCGTCTTGAGCTGACCAGGCGATTTGCGCAGCGCCTTGACGCGACGGACGTTCATGCTGTAAATATCTTGGTGCTCGACGTGGATGCGACCAATCTTGTCGCCCGTGAGCGCGTCGCGAGTGATGTTCTTGACCTTCTTGGGCGCGAGCTCCTTGGGCTTCTTGCACGCGGCCTTCATCAAGTCGGCCGAGCCGAACTTGTGGCGGCGGAACGAGAGGTCGAAGCGCGGCCCCATCTCGTCGAGCTCGACGCGCGGGTGCGTGTCGTTCGAGAGCTTAAAGTCGATCGAGTAGTGGCGGAAGAGGACGCGGTTCTTGGCGGCCGAGCACACAATGACGTGGTCGAGACCCTTGAGGTTCACGGCCGTCGTGATCGTACCGCGGAAGATGTCGAGAAAGAGGTTCTTGAGCTTCGTGTACTCTTCGATCGTGTCCCACTCGTTGCCGGCAAACACAAAGCACGGCTTGGAGCCCGGCGCCATCTTGCTCTTGACCTTGAAGTCATCGATCGACTTGAAGTTCTCAAAGCCCATTTCGATCATGTCCATGAGGTGGCCGTCGAACGTGCGGCCAAAGATGACGTTGTTCGGGCGCTTCTTCGTGCTCGAGCCGAGGAGGAAGAGGCTCGTGTCGTTCTTGGCCGTGAGGAACTCGACGCTGTTGGCATCGTCGAACGGGTGCAGCTCGTTGCGCTTCGAGAGCGCCTTGGCGTCCGGCGCCTTGATCATGCGCAGGTCACGGAGGAGGTTCGTGACATCCTCGTTCGTCTTGTTGCCGCGGAGCACGAGGAGCTGCTTGGTGTTCTCGACGAGCTTGGGCGCCTTGTTCTTGATGGCGCGGGCCACCTTGGCCTTGACGCGCTTCGTCTTGATGGGCGTGGCAGCCTTGCCCTTGAGCTTCTTGGGCGCGCCCATCGCCTTGGACGGAGGAGCCGCCGGCTTGGCCATGCGCTTCGTCACCTTCGCCATGCTTTTCTACGTTGTGAATCCCGCGTAGCAACCGGAACCTAATTTTGGTTGGTTGGTGCCCTAGAGACCACCAACCAAACGCAGGCAGCCAATCCCAGCGCTTGGTTTCATATCCGGATGGTCGGATAAGGATCGGCCGCCCGATCGCTTTCTTGCTCGGACGTTTGCCAGCAGCATCAACTCACTCGCTCGTCATGCATGCACCTCGTGCTTGCAGCATACGCTGTATTAGAAGACACTGTATTACAACACTGTGTCTTACCGGCCTGCCCTCTGCCCTCTCTATCGCGAACGAGCCGTAGCGTGCGTGGCTGGACGCGCAGCTCGCCTCTCGTCGCGCTACCGTGGGGTCTGTCCAAGCGAGCTCGCCACATCCTTTCTGTGGCCTCGTAGCTCCATAGCGCCGAGCGATGATTTGGTCGCGCCGCGTGGATCGCGTGGGATTGGATTGGGCAAAGAACTGCACCGTTGGCCAGATAATGGCTGCTTTCGAGCGGCCGCTGATGACGCTATTTTCGACTTGGCATGCAGCAGCGGACGCAGGTCATCTTCGCCATCGGGCTCCTGGCGCGCGTCGCGCTGCTCCTCTGGGGCGAGTACCAGGACCGGACCATGGTCGTCAAGTACACGGACGTCGACTACGACGTGTACACGGACGCGTCCCGCGAGGTCGTCGCCGGCAACTCGCCCTTTGACCGGACGACGTACCGCTACACGCCGCTCCTGTACGCCCTGCATGGTCCGCGCTGGCATGCTCATGGCTGTCTAGGGCGTTCATTCTGCTGCCCAACGTCTACGTGCACGAAGCGTGGGGCAAGCTCCTCTTTGTCGCTAGCGACATGGTCGTCGCGTACGTCATCTACGCCATCCTGCAGCTGCGCGCGATTCCCGAGTCGAGTACATTCACGACGATAGGTATCCAGACGATCTCATGGCGTTCATGTAGCTGCGATCAACTACACCATGGTGTGGCTCTTCCATCCGTTCTCGATCAACATCTCGACGCGCGGCAACGCCGACACGCTCGTCGTGCTCCTCTGCACGGTCTCCCTCTACCTGCTCATGAAGAAGCAGCTCGTGCTTTCCGCCCTCATGTACGCATCTCCATGCGACGCGTGCTCATGTGGCGTCACTGCGTTAGCTATGGCCTCGCCGTCCACTTCAAGATCTACCCCATTGTCTATGCCCTCGCCTTCCTCGTCGTACGTTCTTCTTGCTGCCTTCCAATTCATATGACGTGGCTCTCTAGTTTCTCGATGAAGACTATGATCATTCGCTCGCCTCTCGCCCAGTGCCATCGTCGCTCATCGGGAAGATGCTGCACTGGCTGAACCGCCATCGGCTGACCTTTGGTCTCGTCAGCGGCGGTCTCTTCATCGCGCTCACCGGTCTCTTCTACGCCATGTACGCTGCCTCCTCCGTGTCTCCGAGTCTCATTCCACCTGTAGTTATGGCTATACCTTTCTCTTTGAGGGATATTTGTACCACTTTTCGCGCACGGACAACCGCCACAACTTTTCCATGTACTTTTACGACCTCTACCTCCGGTACACTCTCGCATGCCTGCTATCTGGTTGAGAATGTTGCGCATATAGCTATGGCACGAGCGGTGGCTTCATGATGGGGCTCATCGCCTTCCTCCCGCAGTTCCTCACGCTCTTCAACATCTCGCTTCGCTGCGGCAAGGACTTGATCTTTGCGCAGTTTCTCCTCACCGTGTGCTTCGTCGTCTTCAACAAGGTGTGCACGGCCCAGGTACCGCACTTTCCGCCTCGTGCACCACTGCTGACCAGCCCTGCTAGTACTTTTTATGGTACTCGGTCTACTTGCCGCTCGTTTTGCCCACGTCGGAGCTCTCGGGCAAGCAGCTCCTCGCGATGATTGGTCTCTGGTTTGGTGGCGAGGTACGAGAGCCATGACTACTTGTGATCGACTTACTCATGTGCACGCTAGCTGCACTGGCTGTACTGGGCGTTTGGGCTTGAAATCATGGGCCAAAATACGTTCTTCAACGTCTGGATTGCAGGGCTCGTCTTCTTCGTCGTCAACATTGGCCTCATGATCGCCTTCAACACGCACCACCACCACGGGCCCCTCTTTGCGAATGGCCGCGTCGTCGGCCTTTCCTCCGCCAAGACGGCCAAGACCGACTAAGATCTCACATCATATACTACCAGAACTGTACTGGCCACTACTTGCTCGTTTCGTCTCTATCTATGTACCGCAAGTTCGCCTAGGTGGATGACGCTGCGTCGATGGCAACGCGTGATGCGACGTCCTCGGCATCGCGTAGCGCCTTGTCCAGCCGCGCCTCGCGCAGCTCGGGCGACTGCAGCCCCTCGATTGTAATGACGTGACTGCGGTCGTAGCCCATGCGGCCAAAGACAGCTTTGACGAGGCCGAACGCCGACTCGTGTTCTGGCACGTTTGTACTGGCGCCGCCCGCCGACGTGACGAGGACGACCGACTTGCCCGACATGAAGGGCTGCTTGGTCGTATTGCAGTACGTCATGTTGGGCTGCACGACGCAGTCCATGTACTGCTTGAGCACATACGGGACACTACGCAAGATAGCTGTGAATACAGGGTACTACCCAGAGGAGTATGCGAGCTACCTGTGGTTCCAGACCGGCGCCGAGATGAGAATGCAGTCGGCGGCCAAGAGCTCGGTTGTCAACGACCGAATCGGCGCGATCTGCGCCTCGTCGTCTGCAGAGCCCTCGCCGAGGAGAACGCGGTAGCTGCTGTTCATCGTGGTTTTGCAGAAGCGCGGCAGCTCCGGGTGCCAGAGGTCTCGCTCGACAAGCGTGAACGAGTCGGGCGAGTACTTGATGCTGTTGGCCATTTCGCGCCGCGCGTTCTGCTGCGCGAGGCAGGCGAGGAAGCCAGAGGCGACGACAGACGTGACCGACTCGTCCGAGAGGCTGCCGTTGAGGTGCAGCACCGAGATCGCCCGGGTGCCTACCCGGCTCCGTCCGCGCGCCAGGAGCAGCATGCCGGAATGACGTCTAAACCATTGGCCGATTCCGGCGGGGCAAAGCTGCAGGCCAATGGCATCCAGGTACACGAGCGTCCTGGTACGTGATTGGCTATTGGCGTGGATTACGACCCATCGCCGAAGCGCAGCGATCGACTTCATCTCGTCGCCTTGATGCACGCGCCATGGACCATGGAGCCATGGAGGCACGAGCGAAAGACGGCATGGCACGAGCAGACCGAGAAGACTGTTTGCTTATAGGTATATTTGATGTTTTCTTATATTTCTCTAGTTGATGTAGGTCAACCAATGTGTCTGACAAGTCGCATCGTAGGCGCAGGTGTCTACGAGCTGGCGAACGCTGCGGGTGGAATGGGCAGGCAACGCCCAAGACGGCGCTTTCCCAATCACCGATGGCTCTGCATGTGCCCCCACCTTGGACGATGCGCGCGACTCCAAGTCGTCCATCGTGTGGGGCGCTCCATTCGACCACAAAGCGGCGTGAGTTGGCTGGCGCAGAGTAGCCAGAAGCGTGTTTGCTGCGTGAATCTTTGGTCGTAAGGTTCTTGACCCACGTACTGAGCTGCGTAATCGTGGACTTGTTCTTGGCAATGGTGACGTTGGCGTCGACCAAGTGCATTTTGATGTGCTGCACCTGGGCCTCCTTGGTTGCAAGGCGGCGCTCCATCTT